TTAAGCTTAGTAACAGGATGGCAGGTAATTGCAGTCAATCCCCCTTTCACTGGCTGAGGCTTCCAGCTTCCTTGATAACAAAAAGACTTGTTCAAACCCTAAAAGTATCCTAAACTGCAAACTCTTGAGCCAATTATTGTTCACATCTATGGCCACAGACCTCTGCCAGTGAGCCTTCTAACACTCCATCTATCAAGCTTGAAAAGATGAACTCTAGAAGTGATTTTCATGTTTGTATTATAGAAACAGGAACACCATTACTGGGATACTGCATCACTTCTTGGCAGACACACTTCTAAAACAGATTCTGAAATAATGATGAACAAAACGGCAATATCCAAATTTGTCTGGGGGAAGCCAATGGCATGGCTATTAGATTGTTTTCAAGTTCAAATCAGCCTCATTTTGTAGTATACTTGTACCCCGCATCTCTGAAGATCACACTGCATGGCATGGTTCAACCGGGTATTCTGAAACCTCTTTAATTTCTCAATGCAGGTTAGACTCAACACCCATAGTGCTTCCTTCTGGTTTTGCAGTGCATCAGTAACTAGATGTGCTGATGCCAGCCAACTCTATTCCATCCAAATGAAAGCAGCTCTCCTCACAGTAGGGAAATACCTAGCGGGCACTATGCCTAGCAGCGCAGAACTGCTGCCATTTTATGATAAACATCAGAATATTTCTGCACTCTTCACTCACACTTCTGTGTTCAGTTCTAATGGGAGTGAATTTCCCAGGATAGTAATGGGATTTTTCTAACCATGCATACTATTAGTACATTGTAAATACTGACCTAAACTGAAGAGTTTTACATTGGCTATCTAGAGTAAGCAAAGTTAAGAGATACTCATGTAAGTAATACACGAATGTGAGGTAACTTAAAAATTAGAGGTTACCCCACAGATCTCCCAGACTCCAAATTTTGTCCACCTGCCACTTTTCTCACACTACGTTCATCTCTCAGATCTCTGCCAACTGCCCTAAGATATCATCTTCCTCATATCTTTATTCTCTTTTCATAGAATTTACACTTATTGCCTGATATTGCTAGGAAACAGCATTGTCACAAAGTTGTATTTTAGGAGTGATCATATTGAGACCGAACTTACTAATGGTATCTCCCATCCACATTAGATCAGATCTAAAATGCAAAAAAGATAATGTGCCACTTTCTCCATCAGTCAAAGGAGGAAGAGAGCCAAGGGCTGTGGATTAACACCCTCTGCCCAGTCTTCTGAATCCTCAATGCTAAGAGTCAGCAGCATGAAACAGCTAGAGATCACAAGCCAGTAATTAGTACCACTCCCATCTGGCTTTCATTCCCCAGAAACAATTTAGAAGTCAGGTGATACAACAATGGTCCAGGGAGGCCTATATAATGAGCTGCAAGACAGATCACTGAAAGAAGGGCCATAATTCACTATAATTAACTATGAAGGCTCTGTTGGTGGTTATTAAGCAATGCGCTATTATTCCCGTGAAAAAGCAACTCCTGAGGCTGTTGATTTATTCCTGTAAAATGTTATTTGTCCTACAGTTTGCTGCACACTTCACTGCAATGGATTATCATTAGCTTATTCATAACAACAAAAAATAGAAATATAACATTTCACAGTAGGCAATATATCATTACTGAGAACACTTCTGATGAGGACCAACATGGACCAGGTAGCAGAGAAAGCTAGTGTATGGTAGAACTGGAGACAACTGGCTGAAGAAAACGGGTTGCAGTCAGCTTCTGACAATTGCATCTGGTCATCAGCACTAAGCTAGGCAGCAGAGGAGCTAGCAGAGGAGGTGGAAGGGTATAGAGCCAATGATGAACAGTTTGTCTGGACAATAGCCAGACTAGAAGTTGTTGAAAAGACTCAGGTGTGTAGACCCTGCACCTCCTATTAGGGCTCCTTTACTCCTTTACCTTTCAGGAAACCTGGGTTCAAGCACCTAACAGTCATGAAACTCATTCCAGTCACTGACTCTCAGCCTTGCCTAACTCAATGGGGATACTGTGCGGATAAAATGGAGAGAAGGAAGATCATGGTACATTGCCTTGGGCTCCTTGGAAGAAAAGGCAAAATACATGAAAAACAAACAAGACATGTTCTTGCTTCCCTGTTCTGGAGGATGAGATGACCTCTACATTTTGCTAGCACTTTAAAAATAAAAATAAAGAATAAAATTTATTTGGGAAAGTATGTGGAAGGTAGCCAGATACAAAAGCTATGCCTGCTGAAATTTCCTCTTCTACATATCTGCCAAAAGTGCAAAAGCCAAAACCAATTGACCATGGAACTGTCAGAACGTATGACTTTGATAACCGGGGGGGGGGGGGGGGATTTCTGCCTATTTGGAGGTCCTTGATAGGGGGTGGAGAGGATCAGAAATAGTCTGGCAACAGTACTAAATGCCTAACCAGATTGGGCTCAGCTGTTTGCAAAGCAAGGCCCACATTGAAAAATGAAACAAGCCAAATGAAAAAAGTATATGTGAAATCAAGGTTTCTTGCAGACTGCACTTTGGTTAGAAAGAAATCCCTGGAACATCAGGTGAATGAAAAGATGCCTGAATAATGTTGATTTTCTATAGTCATTTCTCAGATATTCTAAGAAGCCATGATGCTCATGCCTCCATTTTAAAATTCTGTGTGTTTTTCAACTGCAGGTTTACTACAGATTTATAGAAAGTTTATCTAATGTTATTAAAAACAGATACAATTAATTACAATGATGTAAAAAGTTCCATAGTACTGTTCCATAGTAACAGATTATTTGTTTTTGTACTTGGTGTAAGTATCAAACCAGATAATCAACACATTCACTCACCTGTTTTTCTAATAAAATTTAACCAAAACTTGACCAAAAATGAAACAAATATTTTCTAACTGGCCAAACATCTAATTCTAAAGCTGAATGTTTAATAATTTAAATTAGGAAGCAATACACATATTCCTCTAGGATGTAGATGGGTATTTGCATGTGCTCTGGAAGGAAGTAGGTACACCCCTTCCTCTCAGCCTTCCAATAAAATACACTCCAATACTATCCATGCTCCCTTTAGTACACCTGACATTCTAGCTTCATGTTGATCCTGGAAAGACCAGGAAAGTGAAATATGACATTTTTTGTGACAGAGACAAAAGGGGCAAGAAAGGGTATTCATGTTTCTCTTCTTTACTACAATACAATTCATAGCAGACATTCCAAAATGGAGGAATTAAACTGAAAATGGCAAATTGTTCAAAATATATGTATTTGTTAGAGAAACCTTTTACCCTGTTTGGACAAGGTATCTTGGTAACAAACCAAGTTACAAATCTGGTGTTCCCTTCCTTTTTTGTTAACCACAATTAATTCTGGATATTTTCAATTAACCAGCTTTCTGTTAAATATGAAACAAGCCATGATCTTAAAGCAATTTCAAACTATGTTTTAAGAACCTGAAACTGAGATGATAATCACAGTTACCTGGTTTGGATAGAACAAGAATTTGCAATTAATTGAAGACTTCTTGATTTACTGGAGCGCATCAAGGAAAAGGGAGGAAATAGTGAGCATAAGGACACAATGTACAAACAAAAGTTTCATGCGTTATCTCCACTAAAGACAGACAAGATATGATCATCCAATCTTGCCTTCGACAGAGCAGAGTCTACGAACTGACCTATTCCAGGCCCTGAAGAGAAGAGGTCAATATAAACTTTATAGAAAAGGAAAATAGGTAGAGCAAAGGCAAACCTGGTGTTCCTAGGTTTAAGCTGCTTCAGAAGCTAGCAATATCTCCTCATTCTGTAAAGAACAGCTTTATAGAATTGAACGGCTCACTGACTTCAGCAGAACAGTACCCTGCCCTTTTAGGTGAATTGGCCCATACATACAACACAACAACCCATCCCAAACATCAATCAGCCCTCCTGACCCCTCCCCAACAATTGGGTAACATTCTCTAGGTTGGAAAATACAGAAATCGGTGGTAGCTACTAACAATATCCCACATATTATAGAAAGGAATTGTTAAAACAGAAGAGAAAAGCAATCACTATTCTGTCTAAAAGTTCTGAGATTTGAGGCAGGGATCTATAAGCTTGATGACTTTGTATACCATGACAAGGGCAATGGAGAAAAAAAAAGAAAAGAAAGCCACCAGCTACACTGCAGAGGATCTGAAGATACACGTCAGCAGCCACCTTCCCTCAGGACTTTATTTTTCCCTATCATAGGCTACTGAAGCCAGACACGTTGACTGTTTAATACCATGAAACATTGCATGCCTTTACAATTTTGTCCATCTAACTGATCTGCTGCTAGCACTGCTCAGATTAGGGGAAGTAACTAGAGAGACACGTAACAGACACAGAAGGAGTGTTACTGCTACAGGCTGATGCCAAGTGGTACCTTTGCAGAAGGATACAAAATAGGCCTGCTCTGCCTTTGGGGAAAACCTTTCCAGATATAAACTAGAGAACTCATTCTGAACGAAAATTAGGAGAGGAAGAAAACAGTGCAGAGGTAAGATTGATCTCAGAGAAATAGAACAGAACCAAAGACTGCTTACTCCAGTAGTAAACAGTCTTTGGAAGAATCAGCTATATAGTCACTCTGCCCATCAAAATACTGAGCAGAAGGCAGAGTCACATAACAGGGGACAACAAAGCAAGGAGTGGGCACATACAAGGTAGATCATGCCAGAAAGTCTATACAATTCAAGGGCAGAGTTAAATTGAAAAGAGTGCCTTTGTTTTCTATAGCACATTTGTACTTGTACAGAGTAGAAAAATACCTAGAGACTGCCCACAATGCAGAAATTTCTAAGGGAAGCCATTGTATCCTGCTAGAGACTGAGCACATGAAACAATGGGCAAAGTCAAACACTGTATCAGTGCTCAGCACACAATGCCAAAGGCCATCTGTTTCAGTCAGACAGGAATGTGAATAACTGGACAAACTGGAACACAAGTAGTTAATACTCCATTCCATGGAGTAGAAGCAATGCATACTTACCCTTGGAAGTCAGTATCAACAAGAAGGCGGACCAGAATTCCTGTCACACCCACAAGGATTGGATAGTGGTCTACACTCTCCAGTCCTGGAAAAGACAGCAGAGACCAAGTGTCATAATCAGCAATGAGCAAACCTTGAGTGCCAAGTTTCCCTAAATGGGCCCCTTTAGCTCCTGAGAGGCCTAGATTAGCACAAGTGAGGAATACCAGCACTACAGTTTAAAAAGACTAGGAAAGTATTAATGCTTGTGTTAACCACCTAAGCATTTGTACTACTTTGCCCAACAGTTTCATCAGGTCTTTATTACACACCACACAGACTCTAATTAATCCTTTGCCCATCCTGATTTGGGAAACTCTGGATAATAGGGATGTGCTCCGCCACAACAGAAATTCTTATAGGCATGTGACAAACCTCAGCAGGAGCACGTTCTCGTTTTGCTAATGCCACTGTCCAGTATCTCACATTACAAAGATACCTGAAAGACATGTGCAAAAATTCATCTTCCTTCATCTTCTAACCTGCCTATAGCCTCTCTTCACACAGTTACTCTACAACATGACTTTGAGAGGAACACTGGAAGACAGGCCATCAAGGTGCTAAGTGAAGGTTTTGTTTTTCTCCCCTTCCTAAGTCAGCATTAAGGTAATATATGCTTTGAAATGCGGAAAGAGCTAAGTTATTTTCACCTGTGGGTCTCACAGTGCCATGTCTCCAGTATGGCAGAGATACCTGAGTTAGTAGTATGAGGGCATATCTGAAAACAAACCTCAAACATTCAATGTTCTCCAAAAAAAAAAAAACCCCACCCTAAAATTAGGAGGAATCCATTTCCTTCAGGGAAAGCTTCCTTCAGGACCTTAGCATTCCTTAGCATATCCTTAGCATTCTACCCATTTTAGGATGTTCTTGCTATCTTACTAGCTATGCCCTGCAGCTGCCAAGCTTTCTCCAGAGATGAATGAATCCTTCAACACACAGCAAAGGTTGGAGATAAGTCTTTTTAAAGTTCTCTCCATTCACAACCTACATTTTCAAAGCAAAGTGTTGAGTCCTTGTTCCACAGGAAGGAAACCAAGGACACAGTGACTCAGCAATACTGTTTATTTCCAACTACTGATCAAAATGTCACATATCTGCTGCAGCATGCCCTATCAAAGTGCAGGATATTCCACAGCAGTTATTTGATAGTGCTGCATGGAGGAAGAGGGCCCTTGTTCTGCAGAGAGAGAGAGTGAGAGAGAGAGCAAGCACTGATAAAATATGCTGTCCTTTCTCTCTCATGAGACACTGGGATAACCAGCCAAAAAGACGGGCTTAAGATAATGGAACTTTAGCATAAGTGGAACGTGCTCAGCAATTCTCCATCCAAATGCAGCTCCAGCCTATTTACTGGTATTGCTCTCTATCAACTTTTACAGCATAAGCAGAGCATCTTCCTTGTCTGTATAGATTATTCCATAGTTTAATCAGTTCTGCATAAGAATAGATCCTTTGGCCTTGAGTGGGCCATGTACATGGCCATCATTTGATGATCATTTGATCAGTTCCAAGAGACCCCATACTCCACAGCTGCAGATGTCATGTGTTTCTATGAGCATCAAAGCGCAAGAAGTATGGGCCTTTCTTTGGAGACTAAATGCCCTTCTTCATTCTCAAGCCCAGCTTATTGGTCTTCTGCTTATCTAATCAGCAAGAAGGGGAACAGCTGGGACAGCATAAGCTGCATTAGCAGTGCAATCCAGTGTAAAAGGATGGCACAAGACTGTCCCCACAAGCAACACCTACCATCTTGTCCAGGGGACTAGCACAAGAAAAAGCTCCTGTGCAATCACCAGAAATACTTAGGACCTTTAGAAACATTCCTATATGTGTGTCGGAGAGGAGAAATATTATCTCCAAGGAATAAAGGAAGATGAAGAACACAGTAACATGGGAAGCTCTCTCATACCAGCCTCAGGCAATCTAGCTCGACACTGCCAACTCTGGCAGAGTCTCCCATGGCTCTCCAGTGCAGCCTGCCACAAGCTGTTGCCTCACAGGTATTTTAAAACAGAATGCCTGCCAATCTCAGCCAGCACGGTCCATTCTCAAGGATGATGGGACTTGTAGTAAAAAACTTTTGGGGGGTATCAGGTTGGTAAAGGTGAATCTAGACTCTTAGGTAGGGCCCTTCTGCATCACATACTAACCAATCTTTTCGACTAGAAACAGCAGGAGTTGAACCTGGGACTTTGCGCACAGGCTCTACTACTGAGCTACAACTCCTCCCCAAGGAGGAACTGCAAGGGGGAAGGAGAGGCAGCTCACCTGGCAGGCGAAGATTAACCACTCTGTCAAACAAGTTCCGCTCAGCCGTCACACGATTTAGCACCTGATTTAGAAGCTGTGGAGAAAGGAGATAAGATGGAAGGAGATATACACATAGCTTCCTATGCCTTGTACTCACTGCTTGCACAAGACAAACCCCCCACTTAGGGGGCACAGTGCTACAACAAAGCATACTGGGAGCCAGACATGAATGGACACTTTGAGGATTGTTCTTTCCCTTGTGGCCTGGAATGTTCTACCCTGCAGTCCCAAAATAGCACAGAAAGCACTTTAAAAAATATGTCCTGAAAGCAAATAGTGAGTCAGTGGCAGAATGCATCATTATGCTGGGTGTGGCCTGTGCATGGCATGGCAGATAGCCATCAGAAGAGGTGCTCAGGAAATTTGTGTCAGGGCTCCTGCTGAGCTAGTGACACATGACTTGAGCCGCCAGCAATAAACTGGCTGAAACGTTGGTTGCACTGCATCAGTTCACATCCCATGCTCTGGATACTTCTTCTGGAAAAGGTCTTAGAAGGGAAAGCAGCTTTAAATCCCCTGATTCAATGGGCTCCTGGGACAGGAGAGAGCAGAAAGTCACCAAATCATTTCCTAGAGAGCCCTTATTGGAACCTCAGTGCAAAGACACATTCAAGAATGTGCAAAGATATTTCATTGAAGGGTGCTGGGTTAAAAGAACTGAAAATAGCCAAGAATGAGTGGTGCATGATATTCCACAGTGGAATCTGATGCTTCACACAGAATGTGGCAGAATTCTGAAAAAGTGACCTAGAAGACATTTGGTACGTTGTGTTCCCCTCCTGTATGAAGGACTGCAGTGTTTTAAGAACCAATTCAAAATAACCTTTCGGAGAGTATATTTCAAAACCAGTTTTACTTTCCAGTTTTGCCACAACTATCCAAAAAAATTAGTGCATGGGCAAGCTAGAAAGCTTTACAAATGTCTCCTTCAATTGTAACCACTTGCATCCAAGCCAGCCTTTATATAGAAACTGCAAAAAATAAAAATAAAAAACCCAGTCAGAAGGCTAAGTCAGAAGTACAGATCCCTACTGGTCCAGGATTAGGAACTGCAAACTCAGAAAGGGTTCACAACATTTTCAGACAGAAATAAAGGATGATCATGTCTGACCCTAAACAACATTGTGCTGCAACAGCCGAGGTTTCTACGTGACTGCAGAAAGAAGACCCAGTGAATATAAGGGATGTACCACTTTTGCAAAACTAATTTCTTCTGTTGGTCTTTAGAAAGGTAGAGGGTCTGATGTATGGCTACAAAAATTTGGTATGCACAATATGACAACGCAATGAGTTGTCAGTATTATTTGTTTCAGGACAACTTGCTGTAACACCTGAATATAGCACAGTATCCTCATCATGGTTTGTTAAACATTCACAAGCCATTCTGAGAACCCTTGGCATGTTCATGGCTGCATTTGCATGTAAGCAAGCACTCAATAAGCTTTGGTGGCTTATTCACCATCCTCCTGCATGCCAGACCTGTGCCACCCAATTTCCCTAATGATTCTCACTGGCTATAATTTGCCATTAGGTGCAAAGCTGGCAAAGGTAGGTGGCTGTGGTGGTTAGCAAACCTTCCCTACAATAAAGCACAGATACTAAGTGGTTTGATAACCATCCCAGCCACACACCTTTGCTGGGTTCAACTCTAATGACAACCTGCTTCCAGTGAGGGTAATTAGGGAAATGTGGTACGTGTGTCCAGCATGTACAGGGATCATTAATAAGCCACTGTGGCTTATTAACAGCCTTTCTGCCACGCAAACTGGATCAAACTGAGTTGACTAAAGTGCATTGCCATAATAAGCCAACCCAGATGATGGCTGTGCAAGTCTTGTCACAAAGTGCTATAAAGTGGCGAAAAATGCAGTCACAATCACACTAACACCATGTTGCAGAGCCCCTAATCATCTGTCAGGAGCAATATATGTTAGCAAACAAACTAACAGCCACTATGATTTACTTTTCGGGTAGCTTATCATGATGTGAGAACTGGTTTAACACCTGACCATATACTGATGCTTGGCAGAAAAGGCAATTTACCTTCTGACCTGAAAGCTTTCGGTAAACATTAAGAAGCATTGAGGCATCTGAAAGAAGGAAGCAGGGACCTCATGCTCAAAGGAGGGAATGGTTAAGCCTATGCTCAAGGTCAGGTTACAGATGTGCCACAGTTGGGTTTATCCTTCACTGGTTTCATAGAATCTATGAGCTTTTTTCCTTTAGTGTTCTCTTACAGAGCTAAGTTAAGGTTTACAAAGAAAAAAAAGAACAGTGAACTAAAGACCTTGTCTTGCTATACAATCACTCCCAAAAAAGGCTGTGATGTGGAATGAAAGGAAACAAATTTGCAGTTTTGCATACATCAACACCCAGGGTTGCAGGTGAACTACCACACAACTTTTCGGAAGAAGTATAACTCACAGTGGAATCTGTCAGTGCTACAGATCTGCCAAATTGTGGCACCTCTTTCATCAGCTAACAACCTTTATCCCTGCCACATACCCATCCTGATTCTTTTCTGCAAAAAAATGAGTACCTGTGCAAGTCTCCTGAGTAATAGCTCTGATGAAGGGCGACTCCAGTCTAGGAAAATCTCAGGAGCCAGAGTGACAGTCATTTCCAAGACTCTGAGCAGGCTCACTGATAGATCAAAGCATGTTGCACACACCTTCAACTGGCGACTGTCTACAAAGTTTCTTTCCAGGCGCTCTGCAGCTTGTTGGATCTGCCCAGACAAAAAGATGCAGCTCAGCACAGGTAATAGTGAGAAGAAGCAACTATTCACACTCATTCCAAGCCTCTTCCTTATTTTTTGGCTTTCATATACATGTTATACCAATCCCAGCATCCCCCAAATACCTGCATGTCAACTGCTAATGACACCTGGTAAGGGAAGAATGTATTTATCATACTGTATGTTATCATGTAGTGGCTTCCATTTTTCAATCAACTCTCACCTCCTGAATCATGCCAATGAACTCTGAGAAGGCCCAGTTCAGCTGATTAAGGACACTGTTGAGGAAACTGGGTGCCATTTCACGGTCGCTGCGCAGCAGGTCTGCCATATGTCGCTGCAGCAGGGTAGATGGACAAGGCTCTGGAATAAAACAGTAACACTTTCTAAAGAGGCCATAAAGATAGAAGGTGCTGGACAACCAGTCTGGGCCCAGCCTGCTTTAATATAACCATGTGAAAATGGGAAATTTTAAACACCTTTCATTCTCCACAGACAGTGGCCCTTTCACTTGGTGCAGCACTGTTTTGTCTTTTAAAGCCACAAGCATTATTTAAGCCTTATCCCACAGAAGTCCTCTTTACAATAAGTAGAGATGGCAGGTGCCCTCCAAGGCCAGCTCTCTCATGGACTATTCTGAGCCTGTCCCATCTCCAAGGCCTGAAGCACTTTGCCATAATGCCTGCATGAATTAGCTGGGATGTGGTCATGCACATTTGCTCTCTCCCTGCAAATAAGAAGTTGTACCCTACAGCAGAGCTCCAGTCACGCATTCCTTCTACTCATCTCCACGAGGCCCTAGGACAGCTCAGTGCTAATCTCTCCCGAAAGCAGCATCACAATAGCTCTCCAGCAGGAAATCAGCGCTGAGGCAGCCATCCCACTCCCCTCTGCCAGCACAATACATGTTCACACTTGTCTGCCCAGCTCTGATTAGGAAGGACAGTGTGTGAGAAATCCAGAGGAGCCGAAGAGAGGGGGAAAGCCCAGTTCCTTTCCTATGCTTGCCATCCAGCTCATGGACCCCCAAGATCATGTTTATAATCACTGTGCACTCTAAGACAGGCAAATGTTCTGTAAAGGCAGCTTTCTCAAATAAGTGGGGACATGATGGAGATGACCTTTGGGCAATCTGCTGGCTCTCACAAAGAAGTCCTCCATGCCACAGTCTAAAGAAGGGGCATTTATTTCCCTACTTTGCTCCCCACCTCAAATGTTCCCACTGGAAAGAGACAATTATTGAGGCTCCCATAGTTGGTATGTCGCAAATTGTAAAGCACTGCTTGCTTGCAAGAGGATGCAAACAGTAAGCATGCTCCTCACTGTGAACTTTAAAGAGTTCTCCCATCCAGCCCCTAACAGCAGCGTCTGCAAACAAGTTGGAAGAACACACAGTTGCTCTTAATGCCAGAAGGATATACATAAGAGAGTACTGTGTGAGCACTCTGGAGCAGATCTCCAGGGCATTCCACTCACCTAGAAGCCAGCCATAGCATGACCATCAATTAAAAGTTACTACAGAGGGTGCTGGACAAGGGACACACATAAGTTGTTCCTGAATAAGCTGAGGTTGACGATCCAAAGATTCCCAAGCACTGAAGTCTTAAAACAAATGTTCTATTAACAGAGCGAGAGAGTGCCTCAGGCATAAAGTGGAAGGAATCCTAGCAGGCAGAAGGATGGGCACGTGTTCAGAAATTCCACACCAAGGTAAGAGCTAGAGAACGCTGGCTCGATCCTTCTGCCTTTGTCTGTGCCCCCTCTCCCTCCTTGCAGCATAACAAAGGCTTGAGAGGAGGGGGGTTAGCCCCATTAGCAATGTCCCAAGGACAACTACTAGACAAGCTCCTTTCGATTAACTTGGTATTAATTATTCATTCATGTACGCCTCAAAATAGCAGAGACCAGGATCACTAGCCAAAAGATCCTGTGCTCTGCCTTAGACCTTTTGGAGCCAAGGGCAGAAATAATTAGTAGGCATGGCAGGACTTTGCCAACACCTAGAAAATTTAAACACCATCCTACTGTCAACTAGGTGTCCCAAGGTCAGCACTGGGTTATAAGCACCCTACAGGATGAAACTTCATGATAGCCTTGGCAAACCCAACTGGTTTACTAGGTTGGTTGCCTGGGTCTGGACTTCAGGAAACTTTGTCAGAAGAACTGAAGGAAGCTGCATCTGCTAATCTTTTCTGCTCCCCTTTTCTATTTTATCCTTGTTGAAGGTGATGTTAAAGAAAAGGTAGAGATAGAGAAGAAGAAAAAAAGAGGTAAAGGACAGCAGACACAACAGACACAGGGGGAAAATGGACGTGAACAATACATGAACAGCAACAACATGTTTGCTGTGCACTTACAGTGTGCCATCCAACTAAAGTTACCCACCCTGAGGCAAACTTGGCAGGTCATCAACACAAACATTTGGATGCCTCTTATTACTGTCACTTGGTACCCCAATTCCATTCCTCTTTATTATTCTACCCTAAGATGGGACAGCTAGGAAAAAATTGGAAAAGTTTAGGAAACACTTATTTTTTTCTGATTTTTTAGAAAAGAATGTGGAAAGCCCTCTTTTCTCCTAATTTTCCTGTTTCCTTTTTTTCTTGGTCTTTGCATTTCTATTTCTACCCCACTCTTAACAAAGGCTGAGCCTCACTTACAGTAGAGAGAGAGAATAGGACCTGCCTGTATACCAAGGGTGGGAAGGGAAGAATCTCTGCCAAAGGGCTAAAGAACTATTTCACCACTATACACAGGAAGACAACAGGAAACTTACTCTGGAAACTAGCAACAGAGAGATCTCCTGGGCCCAAGAAATAAAGAAACAGAGAAAATTAAATACAGATGCAATTATTCCCAGAAGGGTTGACAAGGTGCTACTCCCACCATCCTCTGCTAGGCTGTGAGATTAACCTTTTGCCCTTGCATTATATTATCTCTCTGGCAAGATGTGGGACTGATTGCCAATTTGCCATCCACTCAGCAACATAGAGGACAAGAGCTTACATAAAAATGCATTACTGTTTCCACTATCTCATCAGTTCTTACCCAACACAAAGGTATGTGTGCATCTCCAGAGTTCTCCCCAACATCTGCAAAGATCTGAGTTGCTTAACTAATGCTTTCTATGGGCATGGAGCAAGATTTCTAAGGTTCCTAATTCTCTCAGCGATGTAGAATAGGTTTTGCTATCATATCTGTGGCCAGCTCCAGAGGAGAGGCCAAAGCTCCCCCTACAGCTTGCAACTACAGTCTCTCAGATCTCTGTGCCATGCAAGATAAAAACATTCTGAGGACTGTGCTGGGAGACCAGCCTGGTTTCTAAAGCATGACTACTGTAATGAATCCGGATGCAGGTCCTTATGTTTCCCAGGAAAAATAAGGGAACTAGCCCATGCTAGCAAGTCATTGGTGAGAATATGTTAGACATAGATGGTCAGACTTATGACAGTAAGAAGCCTACTGGACTCCTAAAAAAAAGCATCTTGATTTCCTTATACAGCTGGAAACACAGTGGTGGCACCAGCCCTTTGGAATCCTCTTCAATGTGTGGCTGAAGAGGAAGACACCATAGCAACCTTTAAATGCCTCTTTAAAACGTACTTAGTCACACTTGACCTACTGTAATGCTTGCAATTATTTATTATGTATCTTGTTTTTCTATTTTAATGTGAACCACTTAAGAGTTTTTAGCATATCAAGTGGTATAAAAGTAGTGAAATTGAACTTTTTTCACTTATTATTTTTAACATTATGATCCCATACCTTTGGGGAATCTTTCACACATTCCCTATCCATAATTGCTTTGGTCATAAATGCTTCTAAAATGTGCCTCCTACAAACATTTGGGCTCTTTTGGTTACTTTACATTAGGATTTTAACAGGTATCTGGTGACTTACTAAAAATAATTGGGATGATTGCAGTTCTATCATGGGTTTTAAAAAATAAGCTTTAGAGTAGACAAGAACTGGGGTAAGTTCAGGATGTTAAGATGTAACTTTGCACTAACAGTTTGCTACACACATGCAGCCCAGGACAAAGAACAACATATCCATTCTGTTTAGAAGCAAGTGTCCTCCAGCTGCCGGTTATGCTGGATCTGAGCACTGACACAGATAGAAGCCAGTGGTACCAGTTAAGGTGCCAGGGGCAACATCAGCTTGATGTCACCATACCACAGGATCCTTTCCTCTGGTACTAATCTTTGGTCAGATTAGGGGATGCTCATTACTGGGCTGCACATAACCGTAAGGCAAAATGGGAAAGCAACAGCTCCCCAATGTACATCCCCCACTCACTCTGTAAACTGGGGAGACTGGCATCTTCTGGTTTGGTTTTCAGCAGATGAGGAAGCCGTGTGTACCTATAACCAAATCCACAGCCCTATGGGAGAAACAGAGAGAGAGAGCATGAAAAACTCGATACTTAGAAGATCTTCTATTATCTCTCATGAAGGTCCTTTTGCCAGAAGTAGATAACAAAGATTCAAACAGTAAAGTCCAGGGATAATGCATGCAGATACAATCCCTGGTTTTAAAGCCAAACTGGGAATTCCAAGCAAAATGGGAAGGCAAGGAGCAAAACTGTCCTTACTCGCCAAAGTCGTACAAGAATCCAGTTGGTCTGGGCCCAGGGTCTTTGCTCATAAGGGGCCAGCAGGTTCCTCATCATGGATACTCGCCTACCAGGATAAAACAAACAGGTCAGCCATTATGGGAGGGGATGGAGCTGAGTTTGGACAGAAGAAGGGAGTCCAAGACAGAGTGTTTGCTTTACTTTAGATGGGAGAATTAGAAGTGCAAGTGGTGGGTCAAAGTTTTCTATACACAACAAAGGAAATGACAAACATAGGAATCATGCCAGATGCAGAGAAGAAAAGAGATCAGCTTCTTCCAGGACAAATGTTGTTATTCAAGGAAGACAGAACCAAGAACTTACTGATCTTCTGGAATCCTCTCTACAGCACGGAGTGAGTGGGGGTAGCAAACATAGCTGGCTAATGCTTGCATTAGAGAGTCTCTGATGTCTGAATATGGAAATGAGAAAGATAACAAGAAAGAGACTTAATGAAACTGCAGCTATAACACTAAGTTTGTTTTCCAGAAAAATACACTAGAGGTTGCAATGCAGCTGTTCAATACAGTAACCAGAGGCAGACAAAGTGGTAAGATAAAGAGTCATAATAAGATATGAACAACACTACTGTAAAACCCTGTAGTTATTGTTTCAATTTACACTGGTTGAAAAATTAGAAGCAAAAACTTGTTACTATTCTAGAACTGTTAATCAACAGGCATGATTTTAATCTTTCCACACACACACACACAGAAGACAGAAGCTGCTTTACCAGTGCCCACAATCCTTGAGTCAGCAAAGTGCTTGGCTAAAATGGCAGCAAGGCGTGTCAATGTCTCTTCATAGCCTGAAAACAAGAAATTCCAGATAGTAAGGTCCCAAACATACAGAAAAGTTCCATGGCCACTGAATCAACCAACTGCAACAGAACAGAGTGAAACAGATTGGCTTTCATATATTACAAAGAAAGCCTACAGTCCCTCTATGCCAATGTAACATTTCCATAATCCAGGCACTCCTAATACTCAAACAGGCAGTTACAACAGCTTTAAAAATAAAAGCTAATGTGACAATACTGAACTGTTACTGAGGAACAAATAGCAGAAGATTCAGATTGGGAAAATGGAGGGTGGGGAGAGTCAAGCTCTTTTCCCCAGTATTGTATCTCTGAGCCACATTTGACCATTATTAAAACTGTTTGCCTTTTGAAAGACCTTTGGAGATCCATGGTTGGATTTCCTAACATCATTCCTTAGGCCCCAAGAGTGAGACAGTGTGACTGTCAGTAGCTGGCACTCCGCACGTACACTGAAATACTTATAAAAGTGTCTCACTTCCTGAGAATTTGCAACTCAAATTCTGGCAGGGAAGTTTGAACACTGGAAACTTCAACTGGAACAACATAATGAAATCTAAAACAACTCATCTAAGCCAACCTTCATAATTGCATATCCATAATCAGACAGGAAGGAGTGTTTCACACCTGCTCTGTTCCACACCTATCAGGTGAGTTGCAGCATTGGAAGAAAGTAGATTCTGCATAAATTTCCAAAGCAATGCTCATAAGCATAAGCTGTGAACAAACAGAACCATCAGAGCAACCACCAAACAAAACTGTTAGAACTAAAGGAGACTGAAAAAGTAGGAAGACTTATTTTACATGTTTGTCTTTAGCAGCTTTTAATAGTGAATAACATTCTGACAGTTACGTAATCAGAGTCATAAAGCTGTTCCAGCAAAACTGGAAGCAAACAGAAGAGAGATGTAACACCTTCCAGAGACATGTTGGCACTATGTGATTGCATGACGTTAAGTGACCTGCTGTGCTTTGCCTTGGGCTTTCAGAGACATTCACCAAACAGCAGCTGATGGGAGCTGCTGAAGTCAGCCTGCCTTAGAAATAAGCATATGCAATAAATATGGCAGCACACTGAATTTTGAGAGGGAGTCTGGCACAGCAGTTTTCTTGATGTCCCTTAGTGAGAAGTACCTCTGAGATACAGAGGGCTATGCAATGAGTAATAAACATTCATTGGTCCTTGCAAAGACATGAACTTTTGACAATGTGTCCTACACACTTTCAAATTTACCCCTACAACCATGAGGCCAGGTTAACATCTCCTCACCCCACTTTTGCAAAACAGAAGCCAAGCAAACCAAATTCTGCACCAGGTTACAAGGGTTCATTCTTTTCTCTTGTAAATTAGATCCTTCATGCAAAACTAGAGAAGGACCTGCTTAAAGACTGTCTTTAGTTCCTTTTCCTCACCTGGAAGTTCCTCCATGCTGTTCACGGGACTGAAGTAGTTTTTGAGAGCACTGTAGCTGTTCATAGCCACACTCAGATAAAATTCAGGCATAAATGCAAACAGTGAGCCAATCCGGTCCCCATGTTCAATAGTGCGAATACACACCCGTAGCAACCAGTATATATCTTGCATCTTCTCCTGTAAAGGGGCAATCCCTAGTCAGTTTGTCTCTCAAGTGGAAGAAAAGAATATGCATAAATAAAACAGCATTTACAGCTTTGACTTTAAGAGCTTGCCTAATAGCTGCATGTGAGCAGGAATTCTACACCAGCAAGTGAGTGGTGGGTAGAGAAGGAACTAAATATTATTTCATCATAACCAGCATGGAAATGCAATGGGAGTTGGGAATGGACAGCTCTATGGTCTCCTTTGGTTGAAGTTTCTCTCTTCTTTTCTTTCCCTGGACTGCTAAAAGGGACCTCTGTAGTCAATGCAAGCTAGTTGCAGACAACTGAATGATAATACTTTCATAAGCTTATGTACAAGGATGAAATTGCTAATGTGGGCATAAAATGGAATGGTATGAGGATGTTATCTATATCAAACTTTCTGCAAAAACCAATGAAAAATGCAGATAAATTTGCTGAAGTGCAGGATTCTTCCATTAAAAAAAGAACTATATTGACACACATTAAGAGACACAGAGCATACAAGACACATGAAGCAACGGTATGCTTTACCATTCAACATTGATAAAGTTAGAACTGCAACATTTTAAGCAAATTGCTTGATTGATATTATGTATCCTCTCTCACCTTTGAATAAATAGTAACATTGATCCAAGCGAGCCGGCGACTCAAGTGATTAAGCTTCTCTGAGAACACCTTCTGACTCTTCACCAATTCTTCATGGATATCTCTTCTCTGAATTGGAAACAGAAGGGAAATGCTTTCATTAATTTATATACAGCAGGGCCTATAACTTCACAAAAGACTTCCCATAATCATTCATAGGGCTTTCTGCAACTACTGAAGATAAACCAAGAGCTGCTAACTGCCATAGGCTATGTTTGCAGAATCACAAGGAAAAGAAACCACAGTGACTCCTTTTCCTGCTCTCATATGAGTGCTGCATGCCATGCAATTTACCTAATTACCAGCAAGTTGCAAAATGGGGGTCATTTCCCAATCACCCCAGAACCCATGGCTTATTGTAGCAGTTGATACACAGTTCATTAGGTTCGAATGACATGTCAATCTATGTGATCTAAACAGTAATTAGGCAACCTTGCAGTATGCAACCACCATGCACAGGGTGGAGAAAAGAAACCACAGCACTTTATATTTTTTGCAAATCTGGATACCATCTGCCACGCAAGATAAACATCTTCATAATGCGACCCGAAAGGGCCAAAAATACTATAGAACCCCAAACAAATTTAGTGTGAGAAATTAGATACTATGGAACCTTACACAAATTTAGAGAATTAGTTCTGGCAACACACTGGAGACCAACTTATTTTAAAAATGGATCACATGGTTGCTTGTCAGAGCAACACAGGAGGCAAGAACATATGCAAGACAGTGGCTCGTCTTTTTCAAGGTGGTGAAGGGAAAAATAATAAAGGGCACCATGAGCTTCCATATATTTGTGGCTGCCATGTTAATACTACTCACAGGAAAAGATGACATGGTTGAGCCCTTTTTAGCACATTAGCCTCTGAGATATCACCAGAACCTAATAGACTTAGGCACACAGGTTTTCACAACAGAAACTGAAAGGGGCCTAAAGTTTTGGTAGTATAATCAAGCTTTTGAAGTACTTCATTATAATTACAGGTAAGAGTTAGATTGACTAAGCTCTTTGAGACGTTTTGCAATCTGCAAGCTATAATTTTAGCACCATGATGTTCTCTATAATAGTACTTAAATAAGAGAAAGTTAACAAAGAACCCAAAGCAGGAGGCATAGTTCAGGTTTTTAAATCACAGTAGAAGCACTGCATGAAACAATTGTCCTATTCTACCCTTATAATGAATAAGGTATCATTATTTCTTGGTCTGGGCAAGAGTGCAGGAAATTAGATTTATGGGTAGCAATAGAGTGCTCATCAGGACTTGAATGATTCTCAAGCAGAAGAACAACATACAGCCAATATAGAACTACTTTAAAGAGGATGACTATAACAATATTTCTAGCATGTGTGTAATGACTCTCAGGAAGCAGAATATTACCTGAATGATTCTCAAGGACAAGAACAGCATGTGGCAATATAAACCTACTTTAAAGGAAGGTAAATATAACAATCTCCATGTCACATGTATTAGACATATGTATGTCAAGTTTACCCCATAAAATTTTTCTACTTTCATCAAACCCTAGCAACTCTGAAAAAATTGCCATAATTGATCCTTCAATGGAAGTCAAAAGCACATGAAACATTTCTAAAGACCAAATTGGAAGACAGCTTTCAGAAGAGCTTCTTACCCTCTTTGGGCATCGGCTAATCTTTTCTTCAGTGTCCTTCAGTGCCATAGCATACTCATTCACATCATCAGAAACACCTACCATCTGAAACACAGCTAAGTGTCAGTGACACCAACTAAAGCTTTTCTAAACAGGTTATAGCATATACTGGGCTATTTGCTAGATGTGAGAAAAACGGAACGTAAGTATGGCTGCGCCTAATACTATAAAGAACCCCTCCTGCTGATATTTTTAACAATAGTAGACAATATCTAACAGCCTGAGGACAGAACTATAAACAAAGGTGGCAGACCTAAGATCTGAGGCCTGCTGTGCACATAATGCTAATTCAAATTCATGTTTAACAAATGAATTGGTGGGGCTGCACTAAAACAAGCAGGAAAGTATTTCTGCTTTGCAAACAATTTCTTCAAAGGCCCAGGAACAGCCCCTTTCTTGGATTATTTAATGCAACATGTGAACCTGGAACTCTAAAATGTTGTGAGTCAATCCACCCAGAGTCTGAACCCAACAACAAACCATGGCTTCAAACTCTTGGTTGTTTGTTCCTCAACATCCCAGGAAACAAGCCAGGAATCAAATAATTCACAGGCTGCCTATTTTTTTCTTTTATTAAAATGCCTCCATAACACTTACTATATTAAACTCCTTAAGTTGATAAAAGCAGATACAAAGCAGAAGTCACAAGGAGGATGTTTGCTGAATCCTGCATGGCCCCAATGACTCATGGTTTAAACAATCTATAGGTTGTCAACATGTGTAATTTAGGACTGAATGTAAGCCATGGCCAAACAGCAAAAGGCAATTTAAGAATCTAAGAAGCTGGCTTATGACAAGTCATACACATTGGTTCAGTCTTTCCCCCCTCCAAGGAGATCAAAACAAGAGGCTTCTAATTACAGTCTTTATTATGTTAAAGTGGGTCAACCAGGCTGCCTTTGTGATACAAAAGCAGTATTACAGAAGTTGTTAGCAGAAGATGTCAATCAAGTTAGGAAGCTGGCTAATTAGGAAGATTACCACTCATATCAAGAAGTTGTTTCCATACTGAATCCCCCTCCTCAGTTCCAAATTGAATAGGGTTAGCTCCACCTTCAGGGCAGTTCTCCACTGCATGTGGGCCAGACACCATTAATGCCAGACACTACTGAATTGGCCAGCTGTTTCAATCTGACAATGGATGATAGGACTGGTTATGTTATATTCATCCCTCTCTCTGGATCTGCCCCCTCTCCCGATACAGAAGTGGTCTGGTTCTCCCCCTCTTTGGCTTATCTGAGGGCATGCTGGCCTTGGAATTTCAGCTAAGAATTCTGATCCTGCTTCTCCCAGTTCAGATTCAGACACTGAGACAATCAACTCAGAATGCTGTACTTTGGGAGAACTGGGCCCAGTCCCTATAGTACTGTCAATATTGACTGTCAGTAGCTCTCTCCAGGATTTCAGGAGTTATTTTTTCTAGCCCCACCTGGGGATCCCAGGGATCAAAACTGCATGCAAAACAGTTGCTCTACCACTGAGCTATAGTGAAGGAGAAGCAACCCTTCTTCTGCCTGCCACTTTCCTGCCTGCAATTCTTCTTCCCTCAAGGCACTCACACCCACTAATCCCCATCAGGCTCATTTCCAAGCTGAAATTAGCATGATGGGGGAAGGAATGGAAGATCTGATACCCCCTTATTCCACCATATCCACTGTTTTACCATAATAGCCAAGGTCAACACCAACAAATATTATTCTATTCAAAGACACAGAGCAAGCAACCATTACAATTTGCGGTGGACCTACTCCCTCAGCCTCTCCCATTGGGTCCTGGCATCCTTGATAATGCAAGTTTAATTCCAGTTGTGAGAATAAGACAGGACTAGAAACTACCCTGAAATGAATCCTGCTCACCTTACCAAGCTGCTGATGCACGCTGAGGTTGTACATCATGACTATTCCATCCAAGACTTCCAAAAGAGAGTTTTCGGTTATCGGCTGTTCTGGCTCTTCTGCAGGTTTCCCTAATAAAAGGCCTTCATTTCCATGGCTGCCTTCAACTGTCATAAAAACAGAAGGAAGTTTCTGAGCAAGCCACTCAGAAAGTGTGACTCTACTACTGTGAAGATAATGGATCTGGGCTGGTCTGATTTTTTTTAAATCATGAAGTTCAATCCTGCTGCCTGCTGTAAAGTTATACTTGAACGAAAAGTGATGTAAGGTCAGCAGACTTCTAGAGGTATCTGATTTTGGCTCTGGCCACATCTTTTTTCCCCCATTCACCATAAATCTACATTCCCCTCTGCCTTGCCTCACTGTCCCTACAAGTGTATATATTAGGATAATTAAATCTCACCTAATTATACACACTACCAGCTACTCTCAAATCACTTGCATTAGTCATACAATTATCCATCCTTCAGACAGGAACCTGTAGTGTGAATTCCACACATTACATTATGGTCCCTTATAACATGTCCAAGAATGGGCCAGAATGAAGCAGAAATCCTTTCCTTCAACCAAAATATTAAACTCCAGAGTAAAATCAGTTAATGTGAAACCTCACTTACTGGACCAACTCTTCTCTTTTCTGCTCTATTATCTTTCACTGTTTGGGTTTTGCTGGGTTTGCTTGCTTTTGCTACCTCCTTGCAGCCTCTTTCGAGCTTTGGCTAGCCAGAAAGTTGTAAAGACACTACTCACTGTCTTCCTCTGTCCGTTGTTCCATGTTCAGTGCACGGACTTTAACCTTTTCCATGGCACCCAGTGAGCGCCTTGGGGTCATAAGGCTGACAGCTGCAGTACTGAGGAATCGGTTTGCTCGACCCAGGGTGGGTGAGCTAAGCCAACTTGGCCTAGCCAAGGCACCCCCAATTGCTAGTGAGGCAGATGGACGCTGAGAGAAAGAGAAAGAGACAGACAGACAGAGTCAGAGATAGGCAGCACTATTCATTCATCTATGGCAGTTCTTCTTTCAAAGAAAAAAACTAAACTGGTTAGACCACCACAACTCTCAGCCTGGATAGTATAAGCAGTGAACCATAGTTATGCACATTCACAGGACAAGTTTCTGAAACATTCCCATCTGACATGTCATAATCTAGATAAAATAGGGTGGATCTCATGCAAGGGAGCAGGGTTGGGGCAGAGATTCCAGGGAACCTTTACTAGAAAGTACAAGTTGTGTGCTCACTGGTAAAATTTCAATAGGGTAATGGCATATTGAGATTACCTACAACATGGTTTGTACAAACTTCACTGCAAAGTGGGTTATTTATGGAATTGGTCCTCATGTGTTCCAAACAGCAGGTAGTGTGGCAGAATTTGCATCAGCCTACAAGCAATGCTGGCAATTCCAAATATGGGATAGACACTTTCACAATCATGTTGTATCAGAAAGCAGACACACAGGTACAGAAACTCTGTGTATATGGTGACTTTCACTGTGAACTTGCAGAAAAGCAACACCCAAGTTCACTAGACCTAATACATTTTTAAAAGTGGCAAACACTTGGCCACCTATGACCTTACCTTTTAGAGTCCCAAGGAACATGTGTCTTAGTTTGTGGTTTCTCACAGAATTCTAGAGTTTGAAAGGATCTTTGAAGTCATCTAATCCAATCTTCTGCTCAATGCTGGATGGAACTACAGCATCCTTAATAGAATGGCCATCCAGTCTCTGCTTAAATAGCTCCAGTGAATGAGAACCTACCATTTCACAAGGAACCTACCTACCTCACTGTTGAACAGCTTACACTGACAGAAAGGGTCTCCTAGGTTTTTACAAAATTTGTTTTCCTGCAATTTCCACTCACAGGCTCTAGTCCTGCCCTCAGAAGCAACTGAAAACATGTCTACTCCATCTCCTAGGTGACAAGCCTTCAGATATTTGAAGAAAGCTATCATGGCTCCCTTTAATCTATTCTTCTCCAGGCTAAATGCACCTGAAGAGGGAAGCAAGACTAGTTGAAAAGCAACCATGGCCCAGAATGTGAAGATGAAAAACATGAGTGCAACCAAATAAAAAACAAACCCTGCCCACTCTTCCTCCCCCATTTTCTCCTTACACAGGATTTCTATGTGTCTTTTAATGAAAGGCTTGCATTCCCTCTCACATCAGGCCTCGTAGCAAGATATGGCAACAATATTCAAGGATGATGGAAGGATAGAGACATCCCCTGCAACATGAAGTAGTATGTGGTCTTGCCATTTCCACTGTGTTCTAGTGGTCAACAGAAAATCAAGTTGGAACCTCTGCAACATCCCCAAGCACTGTCCCCACTCTGTGCTACTAGTCACTGCTAAAATTAGTTTTAAGAGCAATGCTCTACAACTTTGGTCACTATGATAGCTGCCCAGTCTTCCTTTCCCCAGACAGGCAGCATAAGTCACTTTAGAAACACAGAAACAGAGCAAGTCAGAAGGGGCCTCCCAGGCCATCTAGTCTGACCCCTGGCTCTGGCCAACTCCACCCACGACATGCCTACTTTAGATTCCTTGCAAGAGAAAAAAGGCAGACTATAGATGTAATAAATGAAATAAACTCCCCAAAGAAGGCAATTGTGCTGGGGAAAGTAGAAAGCAGAAGAAAAAAAAAGAATAGAAACTATGAGATGGATTGACTCCATAAAGAAAGCTACAGCCTTGAATTTCCAAGAGCTTAACAAGCCCTGTCATGGATAGAGCATTTTGGACAGCTTCCATACACAGGGTTGTCACAAGTCAGGGACAACTTGACAGCACATGATAACAAAGAAACAAAGTAAAACTTGGAATGGAACAGATCTTTCACTGCATCAAGCATCTACAAAAAGCAAAGTGGTGGAGAGGCCTGCATGGCTTCTGCAAAACCTCTACATGAAGTGCTATGAAACCCATCAGTCCACAAACAAGAGCAAGGAAACTCAGGGTACAGGGCTTTTCCATGACTTTGCACCAAAGCCTCAGACAAGCCAAGAAGGAATGGAACTTCACACAAGCTACTCTAAGGGTTAAGACCAGCAACTGCACTGAGGCACCCTGAGAACATGACTCAGATAAGAAATAGAGAGGAGATTGCCGAGGCTTCATGGCATAACAGATGGAGAGAAGCAGGAATGTCTTTCATAGCCCTGTAAAGCCATAAGAAACTTTTGGAACACAGAAACATGAGGAAGAGGAAGCAGAGCATGTCAGACTAAAGATTGGGGATCCTAAGTTTAGACAATGGAACCAATTACCTAGGGAGGTTATGGGCTCTCCCACACTGGAGGCATTCAAGATGCAACTGGACAGCCACCTGAGAGGGATGGTTTAACTTGGTGTCCTGCACTAAGTACGAGGTTGGACCTGATGGCTCTTGGTCCCTGCAACTCTAGTATTCTATGATTCTTTAACAAATGAGGCGGTGTAAGGTGTTGTGCCTGTCAAAGTAATTTACTGACAAAGGGACTTCCCAAGTAAAAGATCTGCCCAAGAGTAGGGTTTGGTCAGTATGACTTACCTGAATTCTCAATAGTCTGGTTTCTTTCTTACTACTGGCTGCCTAAACTCAGAAATAGTTATTCCCATTGCTAACAGAGTTTGATTGTTTTACAGACTTTGCAGCATGAGCTCCTACACAGCACAAAGCAAAACTGACTTGCTTTCATCTTCTTTGCATAACAGAAGTTAGCTACTTAGAATCAGAACTCAGAGATTGGGTTCAGAGTATGAGTTGAGAGAGGTTGTAGCTGAAGTCTAAAAGTTCTGGAAAAATAGAAGGGTACCTGGTGCACAAAGAATAGCACAGCAGACACCAGGCTGATCTCTCAAGGACAGGGAAGGAAGCATTCCAGGACTGGAGTGCCACCACTGAGAAGCCTACCCACCTGTTGGCCAGCTGCCTCACCTCAGATTTCTTTGTTCCAGAACTCTCTTCTGATGTAGATTTATCTGAAGATCCACTCTTAACACCTGACTTTTGGGCTAGTTTCTAATGCTATGGTACCATCAGACTACATTCAGCACCCAATTCAGCAGCATTCACCTTTCAGCTATAACACATAAAGTCTCTCTCTTCACTGCCTTTTCCTGGCACTCAAAACAAGCACAGATCTCCTCCTTCCCTATCAAGGGGCTTCATTGACCAAGAGCTATGTGAGTTGAATTTTGACCCATTTGAAAGCCAGGCTCACCTGTGCTGTTGACACTGCTGACTCTTCATCTTCATCAAGATCATCCATTGTTACTGCCTGAAGTTCTGCGGGGTCAATCAGAATATTTGCCTTGGACGCCAGGTCATCTATGATTATAAAAGTAGCAATGAAATTGCCAGATAAGCACATTCATAAGCAGATAACATTCCATCTCCCATTTGCCCTGCTAGCAGAAGTTCAAAAAATAGCATAAATGGAAGCATCATTAATACTACTTCATCATCACCAAGGCCCTATTCCTAGGAGCATTTTCTTAGTAATAAATCCCACTGAATTCAATATAACTTGTACAGGGTGGCACTGTCAACAATCAACCTAACCATATGACAGACACAGAGGAAAAAGGGAACAGAAAAAATGCTTCCTAAAAATAGAATAAGAACCTCTATTTTATCAGGATAAGGGAGATAAAACTTTAAAAAAAAATAAAGCTGAAGATTCATGGTAGGGAATCTTCTTCTGGAATCCCTACTACATTAAGGGTGGATTGGAATTATTTTGCTCTAATGTTGAGATGGCCACCAATTATAGCTCGGTGGCTAACATCCCATTCTTGGGCAAGGTGCTCAAGCGGGTAGTGACTAGGCAACTCCAGGTTCTCTTGGAGGAAACTGACCATCTGGACCCATCCCAGTCTGGTTTTATGGGTCTGAAACTGCCTTAGTCACCCTGTATGATGACTGGTGCAGAAAGAGGGACAGAGGGAGTAAGTCTCTGTTGTTCTCCTGGATCTCTCAGTGGCTTTCAATACCATTGACCATGGTATCCTTCTGGACAGGCTGACCAAGTTGGAGGTTGGAAGCAGTGCTTTGCAGTGGTTCCACTCCTACTTGGCTGGCTGATTCCAGAAGGTGGTGCCGGGGGATTGTAGCTCTGTGCCATGGCAACTATGCCATGGAGTTCCACAGGGCTCCATTTTATCCTTGATGCTCTTTAACATCTACATGAAACCACTGGGAGAGGTTATCCAGGGGTTTGGGCTACAGAGTCATCAGTACACTGATGACACTCAACTCTATTTCTCTTTCACATCTTGTCCAGGTGAGGCAGTGGGTGTCCTTAACTGGGTCTGGCTGGTGTTATGCGCTAGTTGAGGGCCAATAAATTGTGGCTGAATCCAGACAAGATGGAAGTCCTGTTGGTAGGCAGTTCAGCCTTCCAGGTAAGTGGTTTTAGCCCTGTTCTGGAAGGGATTGCACTCCCCGCTAAAGGACAGGGTGCGCAGTTTGGAAGTGCTCCTCAACCCAATGCTGTTCCTAGAATTCCAGGTGGCTGCTGTAGCGAGGAGCGCTTTCCTTCAGCTTCGGCTGATTCATCAACTGCGCCCTTACCTGGATGAGCATAGCCTTGCAATGGTGACCCATGCTCTGGTAACTTCCCAACTGGACTACCGTAATGTACTCTATGTGGGTCTGCCCTTTGAGACGGTCTGAATACTTCAATTGGTTCAGAACCGAGCAGCTAGGATGTTAACAGGGACCAGCACATATGCACATATAACATCGGTCCTTTACAATCTACACTGAATACCAATTGAAGCCCAGGCTCAATTTAAGGTGTTGGTGGTGACTCATAAAGTCCTAAATGGCTTAGGACCTGGATATATGAAGAAGCGTCTCCTTCCCTATGTGCCAGCCTGCCCCTTAAGATCTGGGTTGGAGGACCTTCTTTGGGAGTCCTCCCTGAAGATTAGAAGGGTGGCTACCTGGAGAAGGGTGTTCTCTGCAGTGGCACCCGGTTATGGAATATGCTCCCCAACACTCTATTCTTTTCAGAACAAGGGCAAAACATTTTTATTTTCACAGTATTTTAAGGTTTAGATTGTGATTTTAACTGAGGTTTTATTGTACAGAATGGATGCTGTGCTTTGCTTTGCTTTAGAATACAGCAGACACAATGACTTTTAACAAATGTCTGTGGAACTCCAGCAAGAACATCTTTCATCCATGTAGCTTTTACCCAAAAGAAGTCTATCCTATGAAATGACAGCTTTCATCCATGTAACTGTCATGCCAATTACAGTCCAAAGCCTATCCTGTTTTTTTCTTTACTTATTTTAATTCTCTCACTGCCATCCCATCACACTTCTGAACAAAACAAACAACACAAAACTGTCTTATGGAAGCAACTCTTGTGCTGTTTCATGCACCAGCTCTCTGATACAGTAATCTTACTAGGTTTGAGGAACTTTCAATGTTCCTAATGGCAAATTTCATCTTTTGGGTATATTTGGATATGTAAGAATATGTATTTGGTGCAAAGTCTTAGATTAAATCTTGGCAGTATTCCTAAGTCATGCTGAATGATATCATCATCTTGAAAAGGTAAGAAAGTCATTACTTGGTTCTCTGTAGACTCCTACATCCTAGAACACTATTGCAAAGCTGTGCTCAGCATTAAGTTCAAGACTAACACCATGGTCTCGGAACTATGTTTTATTTGAAGTACAACTGAATTCCCTGCTCATACTTTTATCAGAACATGGCTGTGAAGGAGTACTTCCTGCTTCCTATTTGATGATTTTAGTATCAAGCCAGAAGTGTAACTTTTTAATGGTAGAAACTTTATGATATTTGTAGTCCTGAGAGCTTTCTTCTGTCAGGGAGAGCAGCTGCAGCATGCTTCACAGTGGAGGATCCATTATTAAACTCTTTACACAGTCTCACCTCTCTGCTTTTTTTTCCAAGAGAAAAAATACATATTGTATCATTTAAAGGGATAAACAGAAAGGATAAACAAGTCCACTCCCCACTGTGAAATCCTCTAGTCTTATCAGAAGTGACTTGTGAGTGCCTTCTCTGACAAGAGTGCCCAGGTGAAAAGGACCATGGAACTACTGTCATGTGTTCTTTGGCAGTTTAACATCATTTTAACTGGTGCAAAGCAACTGCATTGCCAATAGTCCAGTTCTCATTCATCTGACCTAGTTCACATGTAACAGCAGATCATGGGTTGATGCAGCGCATGAGTTGGAGTGAGCATGCTGCTTCTCATGAATGTCTCACTTCTACTTTTTATCAATAATTCACAGCTAGCCAGGGCATAGGTTGATGAACATGATGTGGGAGCCTGGTGCACTATGTTGTTCAAGGCTAACCAGTCTAATGCTCATGCATGAGATACTTTGCTTCATTTAACCTTCCGTTTGCCATTAGATACAATCTGATTCTATGCAGGTTTAAATTGCAATGATCAGTTATGGTTTCAGAAGGAAGCCCTCTGTAGACATTGCATTAGTATTTGTAAACCATCCTAAGAACTGATACTAAAGACCAGTAAAAAGGAGTATTAAAACAATCCAGTACAATTTCAAATCCTAATTCTCCTTCTAAAAATTTTTGCATTTGTGTATACTTTGCCCTTAATTCTGCTCTCAGGACAGAAATGAAATTCCATATTCTGGAGGAATGGACAAACCATTTCCACTAGAGACAAAAAAGCAGATTAAAAACTCCTTGATTCTCTTCTCTGTACCAAGCACAGGGCCAAACAGCCCCACTGCCCTGAAGCTGGCCAGACTCTGCAGCTCTGAAGAGCAGCTGAGTGAGGGAAAAAGCATGTACTAATCAGAATCTCACAGACCAAGAGGCATCAGCTGCCACTTTATCTTCAAGTCCCAGGAGAGCAGTTCTTGTTTTTAGCCTCAGAGGCTATACACATGTCCTTGAAGAAGACTGGGCTATTTAAATTAGTTGAAATAAATTTGTAAGTAAATTAACAAGTCAAAAAAATTACCACACTTATGTCATGGCAGCTATTTAACATTCACGTTAAAATATATAGTTTACAAGGAAGGTCATAAGCAAAGAAAACCAAGTTTCCGAAGCCTTCTCAATTAGCACCTGCCAGTAATAACTATTAATTACATTCCAAGATCAAATTCCTTGTAATTAATAAAGTGAAAATTTAATAGGACTTCTCCTCACATCAGGCCGAACCAAAACTCATACACATAAATAAATCCTCAAAACTGCTAAACTAACTCTGTGACATTCCCTTCCCACTTTCTCCAACAATTAGCCATGCCTTATACTGAAAGCTCTTATGGAAAGATTTCCTTGGCATTTGCTTTCACACGATGGAAGAGCTGCATTTGGACATAATTTTATGGCAGGGATCTTCACTTAAGAAATTAGCATGTGAATGTGTGCTTCATTTACTCCCACTCTGTGCAAGTGAGTAAATTGAGGTGGGGAATTTTCTTCAGCCCAAGGGTAAAATTCCAGTGTGGGAAAGGTCTTGGGAGCTGCATTCTAACAGCTGGTGGGTCTAAAACTAAGAGAGCAGGACCGAAATGCATTACTGGTTATAAATCCAAACAAACTATAATAAATAATGCAAAAAAGAAAACAGAGGCTTGGTGGGAACAGATCTTGCTTTTCATCTGGATCCAGGATTATGGTTACATGCACACAAACAAGCTAGAATTGGTAAGCCAACAGAACACTCTTGTTGGCTTGCTTAAAACAAGCTTGTGATTCTGGTTTATTTGGGTACACTTAATCCTAGGATCAACCACTCATATGAAAAAGATGAGGTAAGAGCAAATGGGATGCACATTGCTCATTCATGTCACTGTTGTTAAGTCAGGATTCTTAATTCAAAGTGGCGTGGCCCATGGGGTGCAACCAATGACAGAACAAACACTTACCTTTAAGAGTCTTTTTGAGATGAGATAGGAGTCCCCCAAGTCGTTGGAGGTCAAAGTAATCCACCTTCCCATTGTAGAAGAGCTGAGGGGGAACATAGGCATCTGAGGCAAAGATAGACAAAATGTATTTAGGAACAAACCTTCATAGCTGAGAGAGCTCTGTATATATTATGTAGATATATATGTTCATGCTGGCATTTTAGGGTACAGCACTCCACAAAGCAGCTTGCAGCAACACAAAAAATATATGGAAACAACAGATTCAAACCATTATAAGCATAATAAAATTAATTCATGGGTTGGAGAATTTAAAAAAAATAGTAAGAACAGCTCCTTGAACTACAATAAACAAACTACATCAGTAAACATATCTTTTAAACAACTCAGTCATTTCAAAACAGCAACACTAAAATACTTTAAAAGAAGGCAGCCTGAAATAGTTAAGTTTTTACAATGTTTGTCATTATGGAGCCTTCCACAGCTCAGTGGGGAGGAAGTTGTACAACTGGCTCTAACTATGACTACATCTGGATTCAAGTCCATGTCTGGGCATTTCGGAAAATAGTTTTTTCTAACATGAAGGCACCTTACCTTCACTGCTTAATGCTGAAGGATTCTTCACCTTATGCTCATCCCAGTAATGCCTCAAGGCTGAGATGAGTCGGTGCAAGAAACATACCATATACTCCGGAGGACACAATACGGTCAGATTCTAAGGGGGAAAAAAACCTTCTGTTGTTAAGAGTAGTTGGAGAAATTGTGCTAAGCTTCTTGCACACCCTTGCTCACAGCTGGCAAACATCAATAAGCAGACCTGCCACACTGAGAAAAAACTGCTTATGAACAACAAAACACCACTGATCAGGAAAGAACAGAAAATCCATATTGTTGAGCTGACACTTTCACTTAGTGAGGGACCTTTAAGCCATCTTTGCATGCTCTCCTGCGAAAGATTCAAAATTATGTGACAAACTAAGCTGAATACTTCAATCTTTAATAAGTATGCAAAGTGCACCAGTTCATGTATCTTCAGTTACTGTACATAATATATGCTTTTGCTAGTAATTGGGGGGAGCAACAAATTACAGGATGATGAAGTCCTGCCTTTTGACCACTAAAAATCTTGCTCAAATGCACTATTCCCCAGTTCCTGTAGCTTCTGCAAGTTCACCTGGTTTTGCATTGGAAACTTTAATTTCTGTGAAAGAGAACTTTACGGACAGACACTTCCAAAACCAAGCTATCTGTTAAAGAATTTGCCATCAATGTATTATCTACCGACATTCCCCATGGATGCCTTTTTAATGAAGTCGTGATCAGTAGCTCCTCTGCCATAGGCAACTTTAGCAAAAGCACTGGGAAATTCCTATAACTATTTCCCTGCCTCCAATGTCCTAGGAAGGCAGCCAGCTGGGACTGCGGGAACACAACAAAAATAAGACCAGACTGCCAGACAGAACTGACAGTCTGTCAAAGGACAAAAGCAACCAGAATGCACTGTAAGTCCTTGAATCAGAAAGTCCTTTCTACAGAAATAGTTTACCATGGATTCAACCTACTTCAGAAGTAGGCCATTAATCTCCATTGGCACCTTAGTAAACAATCAATGTGTGAAAATTTCGCAGACAGATGGGACACCAAGCACACTAATCTGCAACAGAAAATAAATGGCCACACAGGACACATGTTAGAGAGTAAAATCTGTCAGCACAGATTTTAAGAAAACGTTAATCAGATAATGAAGGCACAAATCATGTACCCCTGCTGCAAACATGTTCAAGTTCTTCAACCACTGATACAAAGAATGTGTTATCAGCTTCTCCAACAGGAAGTGTAATACTAGGTCAAAATCATTACAATGCTATTAACTTACCCCTCGGTTACTAGCGTTTTCCTGAAGAAATTTGCGGAACTTATTTAGAAAGATATATCTGGAAGCTCCTCCCTGAAAGAAGCAACAACCAGTGTTTAAAGTCACTTCAGTTCATTCAAGGTGAAAGAACTGTAACACTGAATCTCAATCAATTTCCAGAGAGATGAAAGTATGGCCAATTTAGCAAGGCATTAGATAGAAGTTAGCAGCTCTACCCTACCTTTTCCATCAGGCTTTTTTTTATCCCAGGTGTTTTCCTTTTTATAGGGTCATTTTTACTGTATAATTTTGCTTTTTTATGTAATGGTATTGCATTTTATTGTTTTGTTTTTACAGATGGTTGAAAATTGCCCAGAGCTTCAGCTATGCAATTATAAAAGGTAAAGATAAAGGTTTCCCCTTGACGTTACATCCAGTCATGCCTGACTCTAGGGGGCGGTGCTCATCTCCATTTCCTGGCCAAGGGAGCCAGCGTTTGTCCACAGACAGTCTCCGTGGTCATGTGGCCGGCATGACTAAACACCGAAGTGCACGGAATGCTGTTACCTGCCCACCAAAGTGGTACCTTTTTATCTACTTGCATTTGCATGCTTTCAAACTGCAAGGTTGGCAGGAGCTGGGACGGAGCAACGGGAACTCACCCTGTTGTGCAGATTCGAACCGGCGACCTTTCGATCTACCAGCCCAGCAGCACAGCGGTTTACACCACTGCGCTACCTGCAGTCCCTTATTTCTATGCAATTATAGAAATGAAATTAATAATACTAATACAAATACTACTAATAATAATACTCAGTGGACATGATTGACTGTTAGAAGCATGCTCCTTCTCTAATGCAATGCCCTCCAGATGTTTAGTCTGCAATGTCCATAAGCCTGACTTATGCTGGGGCTTATGGGAGCTGTGGCCCGAAACATCTGGAGGGCACCACATTTAGAAATGCTGCTTTAGAGCACAATTAAGCACTTGTGGTTTTCCAGGTGTTTCGGCCTGTAATGCCCATCAAGCCTAGGCAGCATAGTCAATTGTGTGAGTTGAGGAGGATTGTAGGCCAGTGAGATGCATCTCTCAAAATGAAGTAATATATTATATTTGCCTAAAAAGTGAAAAGCAGCTTCCAGCAACAAAGCCTGCCAGTATCTAGCATATAGTGTTTTGATCCCCAGTATATTAAATATCAGGCTATGAACTTGGAATTGCATGACTATACAATGACCTTGGTTTAAGAAAAGATGCAGGCACAGCACTTAATAACATCTGTTCCAATACAGAACTAAAAATTTCAAGAACAGAAAGCAAGCTGTTCAGATTAAATACATATATTCTCTGTGAGGTTAGTTGCCCTTACCCCTCCATGATCTTTATTGTTTAACAGCAACTTCAGTATCTGGACTTGGAGTTCTTCTACCACTAAGAATAAATAACACAAACATTATACAAACAGCATCAGGCAGCAGCCACAGTGCTAAAAAGGAGTGCACTCATCATATCCAAGCACCGAACAGATGCTTTCAAGAAGAAGGCAGTCTTCCCAGATCATTGCATCTGGGAAGTAATGCTGCTTGGGACAGTGGTCCAAATCACACAAGCTAAAAGCCTAATCAATGAAAAGCTTAGCACTAAGCTAAGGAGGATGGGTGAGATTATCAGTTATACATTTGGGAGTAGGGGTGTCAGTGCATCAGTTGATCACAATGCCCACTCAGTGAGAAGCACATTGTCCTCCAGACTGTGGAGAATATCAAGCCCCTGGAGATAAGCACTGTCCAACACGGCTTCAAGCTACCCTCTACAGTAACCATGAGACTTTGCATTTCGCAACCCCACTTTCACACCTTCAATGCGTTTCTTGAGCCGCTGGCAGCCTCTTTCATATGCTCGTCTCCTCAGTCTCTCTTCAGCAGTCTCTTCCTTTACTTCTTTACTCTCTTTGCCCTGAGTTGAAATATGAAGTTGTTAGAATAACATGGAAAGGACAGACAAGTGAGACTGGGAAATATAAATGCCAGCATGGCTGATATAAGAATGCAGTCCTCAAAAGCTGTCAAATGAATGGATATTTGCATCACTTATTCTGTAGAATACACCTTGACATGGCAGGCATCACAGCAGATATGCTATGACATTCCTTAAATCTACCAGCAGCAGGTACCATGTTCCTCACCTCTTTGTTAAAACGGTTTGGCCACCAGGTGGTAGGAATCAGCTCCTGCAAACCAGCCTCCTCCACACGCAGGGGACTCTTGATGTAAAAAAACACAACTGAGCGGAGTACATCAAATCTGCAATGAGTTAAGGGCCTCAACAGCTGTTATCTACGAGTATCTGTAGCATTCAGGTAAGAAAGAGCACCCTGCACTTGGTTATAAATAACTCCACACACAGGACCCTGTGAAAATTTAGATTTCTTGAGAACAGCTCAACTCCAGAAGGCACTTAAGAACATAAGAAACTTAAGAAACTTGGAAGCTGCAATGGGATATTTGGGGGACATGAAAAAGTAGCTGAAGAATGAAATAAAGAATGTTTGCACTTTTTATACTGACTTTTAGCACTGCACCGTTCAAGGGAGCACTGAAGTAGCTGTTCACCCCACTTCCCCCTGCATAGCATGTTAGGAGAGATCAACATATGTTCTCAACCTTGCTACTGGTTTTAGCTTGTATGGTTCTGAGTGATATAAGTGAGACAAAAGTTACATGCTTCTGAGTGGTGTAGTGATTATGACACTGTGATAGAATAGAATACTTAGCTGTCTAAACAGAGATATTCTTTAGCTATTGCCATTTAACAAGGCCTTTATATCAGGTATATGCGTTTTAATGCATAAAGTGCTGGAAGAGAAAACTGGGGCAAGACAGTCCTCTGTTTCCTGAAAGACTGACCCAGAAACTTGGGAGTGAGGTTTTGAATGTAAGATCAGAACTCGATGTCGACCAAAGCTCAGCAGAAGAGTGCAGACATTGCATGCAGGAGGCTCTTGTTTCAATCCCTGGAACTTCTAGTTAAAACCTGACTTACCAGGCATGTGAAAGATCTCTGCCAGAGAAATGCTGCCAGCTGGAATAGGCATCGTTTGACTAGATGGACAAACAGCCTGACAAATTAACAAAGCTTGTTGTACAATCTATAGATTGCTTTAAACTGCATGCAAAATGCAGTTTCTCCATCAGAAGCTAAAATGCATGCAAAATGGGGTTTCTCCATCACAAACTGTTACTGTCCAGTTTTAAAAATGGAGTTAAATTGCATAAGCATGCTCTAATAGAGTGTCTACATCTTCTCAGTCCTTCTTTCAATCAATCTTCTTCCCATTGATTCAAACTTCCAGATAGTTTTCAATATAAGGTTGGGTCTAATCTGCCTACTAGTATTCTTCAGGTTCTCTGTGCAACTGAGTGAACATAATAAGCTGTTACTGGTTCGTAACTAACTGAACAACAGAAAGGAGTAAATCAGTTCTTGCTGTGGAGGAAAGGATGATGATTCCTCTAAAGATTTGCACTGGAACAGCTGCTATTCATAAATGAATTGGAGTTATGGGTTTGGTAAGGTGGCCACATTTCAAAAGAATGGCCAGGTTCACATAACGTTAACGCCCTTGGGAATTTTAACCATGGATGGTGTTAAATTCTTCTGTGCATGACAGACCACCAGACACAGCATGACGTCCTCCTGCAGTATACCAGGGGACACTGCTAGACCAAGAGACATCTACTCAGCAGCAGCAAGTCATTTAGTGCTGGCTGTAGTCAGACTTTTTTTTAAAAAGTGCTTCTGTATTATACATACTTAGGAAAGTTTGGACAGCCCAGGGCCACATGAATAATCTGCAAAAACCTGAGAATCCTGCTGCAGAGAGAGCTTTCTTAAACCCTTACCTTTAAAAATACAAATTTGGAAAAAATAATTAGCAGTGGGCTACAAGATGCAATTTGGCATAGACAGGTCTGCATGGATGCAGTGTGTGCACTATTTGTAACTTTGTAGTCCACTGCTAACCATTTGTTAACTGCTTGGGGGCATGAGGAAGCCATGTTTTGCAGCAGACTCCTCAGGGTTTTTGAGGGATGCTTATGTGACTCTCAGCTGCCCTTACTTGCCCATGTGTTACTTACACAGAGGCACAGGTCTGCCCCACTCTTCTGCAGCTCTCAAGAACCTGTCAAAACGAGTGTTTGGAGGACACTCTCTCAGTTCTATCCCTTTTCAAAGCAAGATCCCCCAGGGTTTCATGGAGGTGGGTACTGCTGTTAGGGAGTCAAACCTATCCCCTCAGTATTACAATTTACTCTGAATTGATAACGTCCTGGGAAGTGGCAAAACCTGGAGGAACCTCCCATGGGGAGAGTACAAGGCTTGGGATTTAAAGGAAGAAGCCCACCTCCTAGCATGGGCTTTCCCCAGGCTTTTTGAAGTGCCACCCCTGCTGCTGGCAGGGAGCTGTCTCCAAATACTGCTTTAGCTGTTTAGGATGCCTGGGAAAAGCCATTGGTGACTAGACTCTTGGCTTGAGCAGCAAGCCTCTCACCTGCCCTTGTAAAGGGTTCTCTGGTATTTTGCTTCAAATAAGGCTTATTTTGTTGTCTGGGTTTGAACAACTGAATAAGTCATGGTAAGTTTATTAAACCCTACCAGAATCCATGGCTAGAGTACTGGATTCAGACAACATGCTAAATCTCTATGATATATAAACTACCATGGTTTAACATGTCCAAAGCCAGTCAGTATCCCCATTGATTGTACAGGCAACAAAATCACAAACTGAATTTAAATTCAATTTAAGTACATAACGTGAGGCACTCTGCAATATAAAAATATGCTGATGACATCCAAACCAACTGTTATTAACCAGGACAGGTATCTTAAGGTTACTGCAGATAGGTCACTGAAAGTGATTTAATTTAATTTGCAAAAGTGCAAATCCATTGCTAAGAATTGTTGGGAAAGTAACTGGAAAAAAATGTGGTATTACAATGACAATACGTATCTAGTTTGTGATCAAGCTTAAGATACTATGTAGAATTTTAGAAAAGATGCAGAAGAAGATCAACCAAAATGATAAGATAGGAGAAGCATCATGGATTAGGTTGGGGGCTATGACAGAATTCTATAAATTATACATTGCATGAAGAAAGTGTTCAGAGTAAACTGATTCACCCTCTTTCATAATACCAAGACTCAGGGTCACCCAATAAGACTAGCCTGTAAGAAATTTAGGACTAACAAAAAGAAATCCTTCACATCAAACATAATCTAAGAAATTCACTGCCATGAGATACAGTGATGGCCACCAAACTAAATGGCTTTAAACTGAGGATTCAACAAATCCATGGAATCTATTGCTTGTCATGACGGCCACATGCAGCCTACAGTTCAAAGACAGCATGCCTTTGGCTTTCAGTTGCTGGGAAGAACCACAGAGAGGACTTACATGCCCAGCTTCTGGGATTCTCAGAGGCTGAAGTTGTATTGAGACAGAAGTCTGTAATTAAGGCACAACTGCTCCCTGTCAGCCCTTTTAGACTTATGTTATTCTGAGGAGGCTAAACGGTTCATGCTGGCAGCTGCCGATGCAGCAGTTTGTGGGAATGGGCAGAGGGGACTGTAGCAAAATGAAACTGAGAAATTTTCTAATCTGCAATGTCAGTTATTCAAGGAAATGCTGGGATAAGGCACAGAGAAAATATTTTCCAATGACAGCCCCTCCATATCCATTATAAGGTGTGAGACCAATGTTCCCCTAAAAATGGAGAAACTGAATTTGCAAAGGCAGGGTGAAACAAGGACAATAATGAGCAAAGTGTGACCTTATGCACCTCACACTGAAGCTGCATTCAATTACCAGTGCTCCAGACCTAGACCCACCAATCTGTTTGCAGCTACCTTCTACCATCTGTTGTAGAGAAAGGAGAGAAATCAAGGCTCCACTGAGAACTGGCAACAACCAAGGATTAGTTTTTCAGATAGTCTCGTTCACCTGCAAGGCCTCACTTCCTTTAACAGTGTGATGATTTGGCAGTGCCTACACACCTGAAGTTCTTGGCAGTCTAAGTGAGCTTACATCATCAAAATACTGGATGAGTGTAACACATATAGGTACAAAAGTGGATACAAGACATTTTGCAGCAGGTACTTCCTGGACTTCTCATGCTTCAGAACAGCAATAGTGAGACGGAGGTAGTGAATCTGCACAAAGAAGAAATTAAAAGGGCCATTGATATATCTTCCAACCAACTGTTCTTAAGATGTTTTATCTAAAATTCTTTACAACATTTGTGAAGCTTTAGCCAAACAGAGTAATTTCCCTCAGAGAATTTCCATTGGGTATTCACAAAACAATACTTACTTGTAATCCTAGATCAGGAACAATGGGAGAGAAGCGGTAAGCCCTGAGCAGGGACATCAGCAACTGTTTGAGGCATTCATGTATTTCATAATCCTAAGGAGGAAAGAAACACTGTCCAGGAGATGCTGGTGCCAATTAGTCCCCAAGAAGGAAGGAAACCCAGCATTAGAAGAAAGGGGAGCAGCCTACCAAGAAATTCAAAACTACTCACTTCCATGAGAAGCCACATGAGATCCAATAACTGCTGAATAAGAGGGTGTGCTTCCACAGCGCCCCCTCCTTCCAGGATGCTAAGGAGGAAGGTCATAAGCACATCTTCCACCAAGTACACTTTGCACTGCAGTAAGAAATTCTCAAATTAGCAGATGTATAGAGAATGTTATCAACACATTTTGGTAGACTGAATCCTGACCTGTCAAAATACAAGTACAATAGTACCTAGGCTGCAGCTTCCCCTGCAATGTTCCTAAGAATGTGCTGGGAGGGACATTCCTCGCATCTTTGCAGGTAGATCTATTCACAAAAAGGGATTAAACTTGCTGCTGCATGGTGCCAGAGTGTAGCCCCTCCTCCTAAATGAATCTGCTGCTGAGCAGCAGCAGGGAGGGATTGAAAACATGATGAGATGGCTTCCTCACAAGCCAGTGGGTGAGCAGGCACAAGCTGCAGCTTGCCAAATGAAACAGCAGCTGGAGACCGTCCCTGCCAGGAGGCACTTACCCACAAGTCAATCCTGTATTTGTATCCTTTGCCTGCATGCCATGACTTGCACACAAAGGGCTGAAGACACACTAGAACAAGGAGGGGCAATCTCAAAAATCTTGCTTCTTGACCCAGATAAAAGTAATTGGTTTGTGCCAGTACTCAAATTACTGAGAATGGGGGTTACTGAAATCCAAAACCCTGACACACAAATCAATTTTAGTGGAATCATGTTACTACCACATCTCAAACTTCTGAAATACAGGAACTATAAGAGTTAGCACAAAATATAAATCACCTTGGAAGTCAAGGTGTTTGTAGACTTCTGTCTCTAAGATGAGCTACAACTTACGCATTTTTTAAAGCTGCTAATGTAATTTGCCCAAATAAGTACCCCAAACTACCATGAGTGTAATGTAATTTGCACAGAATTGGATGATTTGTGCGAATTGGTCAATTCAGCACAAGTAACTCAAGAACCATGCGATTTCAGCTATTTTATTTGTTCAAATTGCATTAATCAAATTCCAGAACTAATAAATCCTAAGGGTCAAATTGTGAAAAGCCATTGAATTCCTACCACTCTCATCTGATTTGTCATTCATCCTGAGCTCTTGCTCATTTTTTATTTACAATTAAAGCACCATCATAGCTCAGGGAAAGAGCATGTGATTTGCGTACAAAAGGGCTTAGATTCAATCTGCAGCATCTCCAAGTAAGGTTGGAAGAGAGTCCCCTCTGAAATCCTGAGAACTACTGCAGGTCAGTGCAGAGCAGCCAATCTTGAGCTAGATGGATCAATGGTTTGCTTCAGCAGAAGGCAGCTTGCTATGCTCTATGTGCCTTACAGAACTCATGGTCAAAATTTGTAAACTAACCGACAGAATACATGTGTATGCCTTCCTGCAACCGGGAAAGTAATGATGCAATAGAGAAGCTGGAAGTTTCCCAAATTAATACCAACAAGTTGAACACTAAGGAAACTCACCATGAGAGGGGCAAAGTGATTGAAAATATGTGCCAAGGTGATGAGCACTGTTGGTTCCCCCTGGAGTTGCCAGGTGGAAGAGTCTTTCTCAACCAGCTTCCCATCCTGAAATACAAAACTTTGCATTACAAACATTTTTTAACAGAGCCTACTTTTGCAAGAGTACTTTTTCATAATCCTTTTCTTAAACACACAGGACTTGTTTCTAATATGCTGGCTGGGGGACTATGGGAGCTATAGTCCTACATACCTGGAAGACAGCAGGAAGGGTGTTTTGCACTTTTTTACAGACAGAAATTCACTGACAGAGGGTGTCTGGCCGAGGAGGGAAACGTGCATACTACAAGAATTCCTGGTGTGATTTGGAGCCACAACTGAAGTAGGGCTTGAATTGGTTCCCTGTCCTTGTTGATCCCAAGCATTAAGAATCAAGTCTGATCCTCTCACCATAGTTCCATCCTGGATTCAGCTTCATTAGAACACAGTGATGGAACATGCCTTTCCTACAGCTCAAGAAAAAATTCTCAGACTAGCACTTCCAGCTTGAATCATGTGTGAAAGAGTAAAATTCAAATCCCTGTAAGAAAACCCCAGGCCATTTCTCTGAAGTTTTTTGGCAAGGGGGGGACATGACATGTGCCACCAGTGAGGCTACGCAGTTTGCAGGATGGCTTACTGTTCGCAATGGTCACAGAGGTCTTCTTTCTGGCCACAATTGTCAGTTGCCATTTTCTGCACCCACCACCATCCCTCACAATGTGGACTACCATGAAGGGTAATGGGGGAGGGGGAAGAAAGAAAGTGGCTGCTGGACCACACAAAGAAGGGCTCTGCTGTTGCTGCTAATGTCTGTGGTGGTGATGCAGGGAGGAAACACACTAGCCACTATGCTGCCAGCAGTGAGCCCTCCCCCTAAACCTTATGGTGAATTTCCTGCCCTAATAAAAGACTCAAGAAAATAGCTGCACAGTTCTGGGGCCACTGGGCTTCATGCCCTAATTTAGGCTTTAATCCTATACGCACTTGCCCGGAAGTAACTACCAACTCAGTGGGGTTTACTTCTAAGCAGACTTGAATAAAATTGTTCAATATTAATTTCCAGAGCTATACATATCAAAGGCATCTCCTTGAGCAAGTCTCACAAGGCACCTGTTCAACATCAGGTAGAAGTTTATTTCATTTTTCCCAGACCTTTTATATTGCGCTGGAATGTTATGGTTGATTTGCTTTTAATGTATTTTATTAGTTCATTCTTTATAAAAAAGATCTGAGAGATTTGGCTGAAAATCTCAGAGCTTATAAATGCATGAAGTATAACACTTCTAACTTAATAAACCCAAGATGTGGACAGTTTTGAACAAAGATAGTATTAAAGTGAATACCGAAAATGTGGTCTTACCGAAACATCTATTCCAATATTAATAACATTTTTCAGGTAACCCAACAGCTTGTGAGCTTTCACCAGATCTGTAGCTGGTTTGTCTTGTAAGGGTCGATACCCCTCCACTGGATATGTTAGGCATTATTAAGAAATAACATACACATGTGCACATTAGGATGCAATTTACTCCTTCAAATGCTTCCACAACCACCTCCCACCTTCCTCTTCTGCCAAGTTTTGCTTTCATCCAGTACTTCAGTGTTCCAGGAAGCATGCTTCATTTGCTTTTTTTTCGAAGCCCCCAGTCTCTGTACCACACAGCATTATGTTCCAAGCGCAGCATACACTGAAGGTGGATTGCCAAAGAAAAAGAGTTCAGGGATTGTGCTGGCTGTTCACATCAACTGAACTTCCTTCTTTTTCTGAATTACCAGTCTTTGCCTTAATTGTATTTCAATAAGGTTAGAACTGCTGCTGTGCATTAGTGTCAGCTCTTGTCTTAACTGTGTAACATGCCTGAAATAATAAGAATCAAACCTTCAATTAAGCTATCAGGAATGACTGACAAGTGTCAACCAAAGAAGTTTGAATTACTGTTCCTTTCCAAAGAATAATGGTAAATACATAATGGCAGTAAAACTATCCAAATTGGTAGTTGAGCAGCATGGCCCTGAAACAAGGCCATATGACCATTATTTCCCTTTTCCTTCTCAAAACACCGCAATCACACCAAGGATACTAAATTTGAAATCTGGTATGACATAGAAGATAAGAACATGACAGCTCAGTTTCCCTGTCCAAACCTCAGCTCCACTCTACTCTGCTTACCCTATGATAACACCATCAGCCCACTTCACTAGATTGCCAGGATTCTACAGTATATATATGAAATATGTAATATTTATATAGCACATTTCTTAGGCAGTATTATTTCAGTAAGCATCAGTGGATCACCAGAAAGGTAGAACATGGGTCTGGCCCTGGGAAAGGAATGGTATGTTTTAGATGTTAATACTACAATCATTCCACAGTTTGCTGAAATGACTATCAAAGGATATCGGAGTGGGCGGCTACCAAAGTTAAAAGCAACAGATTCCTTGAAGGACAGGCTGATGGCAGGGAAGTAGGCCATGCCAGAACCTCGTGAGATGTTATCAAAAGCTGTCCCAAGAGACACACCATTCCTGAAGAAAATGAGAAAGAAATCCCAAAATAGTTATATATTTTATCAGAGAATTCTAGAAAAAATGATATATGCATCTGACATAGCACAAAGGCAGAAACAGTCATATCCTGGTGGCTTCTTCTTTCCATTAAATTATCAACCAGATTCCCTATATAGACTTCACCCACTGCTATGTCTCAGAATTTTAATTTCAAAAACATGTCCTGCATGACAATTAGATAAATATTAACTGGCATTGTTGGAACTTTGTTTGAGATTCTTCTTTTACTTTTTGAAAATATATATACATACAAGGCACACACAATAAAAACAAAACTCATAATCTACATATATATATAAAACAATAGAAATAGTAAAATTATTTGTATTGTAAAATAGTAAAATAAAACGTTGTTGTTGTGAACCATCCTGAGACGTCTGTGATGGGATGGTAAACAAAATATTTTTAACAGCAGTGCTACTTTCCACCAGGATACATGATACTTAGTATAAAATAATTTATTAATTCAGGTAGCCCCACTCCCCTTCCAAAACTGCACTGAGTCTTGTAATAGTGCACAATCCTTTCTCTTTACTAAAACATATTTAAAAAATGGTCCCCAAACAACTTCAAAATTATTTTTACTTACCAAGTCTTTTTTTCAATTTAATATCACAAGTTAGCTTATCATTAACATCTATATTCCAAAATTCTTTATATCACTCATTTGATAGTCACATTTTACTTTCCACTTTCTTAATATTATTAAACTTATTGCTGATACCAAATTTGTCATCAATTCTTTATATTTTGTTTGAGATTCTATTTAGTCTAAGAATGCCACCCTGGGACTCAAATGTGCATTATCCTCTCAGTACGAGTAGGAGCACATGTGAGTGAAGATCAAACCATTCTACCATACCTGCCAATTAAATGTATAATTTTGCACAACAAGCTATTACTTCAGATCATTGTTTAAGCTTCACTATTTCCTCACATCTTAACAGCTGGGGATTCCACATTAGAAGAAGCAGGTTCCTTCTTCATGCAAGTTCAACTGCTGCAGAAACGTGTCTCTGGTGCCAGATATCTTAACACACCATGACAAGTTTTGTTGAAAACTCATCCTCTGTTTAATCAATGCAAATTAATGTACAGCTTATTGGTCCTGGAGAAAATTCTTTGCCATCTCCTACTTTGTATATTAAATATAAAATACCAGCTATGACTCCATGGCAATATAGGGAACTGAAATGTTTGATAAAGCCCAAGTCTGGTCTCACTGATTTACAACTTCAGAGCTGTCCATGTTATTGGAAGTACTGACTGAGGCCAACGAGCTGCACTAGCCTACAATGCACTTTTATGTCCATAAATATATATGAATAGTGAATACATATGATACACAGGGTTTCAGCCAGGAACGGAATAATGAACTGGAGCACCCCATTTTGCCCAATCAACAGACTGCTTCATTATCATCTATTTTGCAAGGGGTTATCGATCTCAGGTTATGCTTAATTCATGTTTTTAGTTTCCTGAATGCCACAACATCTCTCTGATATGGGTTTGATTAAATTGGTCAGTTGTTGGAAGTATAATGCTGCTAATGCTTCTCCTCTGCATGTGTTTTGGAAATGTCCAACAGCAGGAAGGAAGGAGGTAGTAATTCAGATAAATCTGGTGATGGAAAAGTACTTTAATATAAATACTAAAGAGGGTACACATGTTCTTTTGTATTACCTACTCATTTTTTGAATTTAATGCAAGGACAACATAAATTGAATCCCCATACAATTTTGACAACTAAAGGACAAATATTCCAATGTTATAATACTGGAAGGATAAATGGCCACTGGCCAACTTTTACCCATAACACAATAGATAGATGATTTAATGAAACTTCAAATATTTTGAACAGTGGAAGTGTGGTGTGGCAGTTAAGGTATTAGACTGAGGATCTAGGATATCTAGGTTCTAGCCCCTACTCAGCCATGAAGCTTAATGGGTAACTTTAGGTCAATCGTCCACACTCAGCCTAACCTAACAGACAGGTTTGTTCTTGTAAGGGTAAAAAGGAGTGGAAGAGAGCTACATAAGCCCCCTTGTGTCCTTTGCAACGGGAACTGAAGCAGGATATAAATGCAATTATAATGATAATTAATATGGATAAATATATGGGTATTTGGGATGTCTTGGTTGAAGTACATGCATAATTATTCTTAAGAACAATATGTTGTTATAAACTAATATATAGGGATATATATGTAACTGGTTCTGTAGATCATATTTTAATCAAAAATTGTAATGCCTTAGGTGTTTTTCTTTAAAGGCACTGTTTGGTTCTTTTTGCAGTATGCAATAAAAATAAATAAAATATTAATGTATAAAATACATTTTGTTTTGTGGGGAGCCCTCCATATCAGGGCAGAGATAGTAAAACAGTCATTTTTTCCAGTGAAATAGTGGCTCCTCTTTCCTTCAAACAAAATATGAAATTATTTCTTAAAAAACAGTTAATAGGAAAGAATCTCTAAATTTGAAAAGCTGATATGCAGAGCTTGAAGGTAAGTACACTTTGTTATTCATAAAATTCATATTACCATTAGTGCAATGATTACTATTCTTATGGAAAATAGCTTCCAAGCAATTACTCAGTGGATATGCATTCAAACAATGCATGATATACATAAAGTGCTCAGACAAAAGGTTCTGCAGTACAGCTACAGGAGTTCAGTGTTGCAATAGACACCACAGGCACCCAGCAACAAATGCAACAAATGCAGCCTGCTTCACATAGCAACTTCCCATGAGGTATTATGGCTCCACACTATGATGTCATGAATGGCCAACCATGCAGGTTACTGTTTGTGTGGATCTGGCTTAATTATCTATTCATAATCCTTCTTGCTTGTGCTGTACCTAGTAATGTTTCTATGAGCAAACAACTGCAATCCAGAAGTGATCCTACTGAATCCAATGTTAGCAGAAGATTATTATAGATGGAGCAAGGATTTACCCCTTGGTTTAGTTTAGACCCTCAATAAAATACTTAGAAGATGGGGTGACAGAATACAGTAGATTAGCTATGTCTAGGACTCTGTATGACTGCTTACAAGCAGAAAGAAATGCTTCCTTCATCCAGGTCTATCAAACAGCTGACAATATCTCCTGCTGCCCAAGACTGCAGAAATAAAAAGAAAAGAGTATTAAGTGGGACATATAACCAGTTTTGTTGCGATACTCTCAAAAACACACACAAATTGCTTCAAGTTAGACAAGCAGGCTGTGAACCAAAAACCTTCAAGTGTATAGTTGTTCTACATGAAACCTCATCCCCCAGACCAATCTGCTTTCCCTTCTGCCATGGTAATACAAGTCCTCCCTCATCCTAACACATATATAGAAAAGCAGCTAGTCCAGTTCCCCAAGTTTTAACAAACAGAAGTCAGGAGGAAAGATCTAAATGTTTTCTGATTGTAACTGAAACTCTAGAAAAAGGGATATTTTTAAAAAACAACAGTTTTATTACTTTTTTAAAATTCCAGCAATGAAACATTGATGATTGCTTCCCCACTGAAAACAGATGCAATTTTTCAATCCCTTCTAGGGCGTATTGCGGCATTAAAATTTCAGCTCTATGTTTCAGCAAGCATGAGGTCAAATCTGTTACCTACTCTATTTGACCAATCCCTCTGACAGCTGCAACATACAAGGAAATTAACCAGGAAAGGCTGTATACATTAGGCAGCTGTAAGTTGCTCCTGTGCACTTGCAAAAGACCAACAAAAACATTAAGAAATTGCAAACACAATTGGACAATTTTCAGGGAGGGGAGTGATTTTAAAACGGCTGGTGAACCAGTGACGATTGCTCCAAAGTGCCACTTGGGCATCAGTGGAGGAGTTGGCACTGGCAGAGGCACAGGCAAGATTGCCCAAGAGTGGCAGAGCGTTTTGCCACTCATGCTAAGTGGCACACTAGCCAATCCCTGCAACTCATAATGAAATTGTTCTGTTGGGTCTGCACAACACAACAAGTCATCCTGGGTCAAACAGCTCTTAGAACAATAGTCAGAGTGGTGTGTTGCTAGGTGTCAGAAAATTAGTCTGGGTTTAGATGATGTGGCAACCCATCATAACTGCTCAACAACATGGGTTGTTGCATCATGAGAATCCACTCAATGTTTCAGCACAATCAGCTGTTTAACTGCAACAGAATGCGCATACTGCTGCAGCATTAATGGAAAAACTGATATCAAACAACAAGAGCTAGTTACTGATTTACTGAGAGCACTGTAAATATATTACAGGGCTTCTTTGGGTGTTTTGTTTAGTGACTCTCCATGTTTAAGGGAAAGACACATGTTATATCTTTAAAAAAACTTTTACAGGGTACTGTCTTCTACAACCAGGTGCCCCCCAGATGTTTTTCATACAAGTCCCACCATTCCTAACCATTGGCCATTCTGCTTGGGCTGATGGAAGCTGAAGTCCAAAACACCTGGAAGGCACCAGATTGAGGAAGCCTAGCCTACTACAGCAGGTACATCAATAGGCCTATAAAGTTGGAGGGTGTATATCTAACTACAAACACCTAAACATGTGCACAGTGGAAGAAAAACTGTTTTATGTTTAGGATATAAACCAATCAGTTGTACCCTATCAAAACCACAGAACAGAAATCACTGTTGATAGCAGACAAACTGATCATGCAAGGAGAGTTGGGGGCATGCAGCTCTACTGGAAACTAGGAGACCATATGAATGCTCCTGAGGCCCAGCCATACCCAATTCATACAAAATAGCATTCAGCTGACATGTAATACTTCTTGGGGACAATTATTTTCTATCATGAAAAACCATGTACAGCTCTTATTCAAGACAAGAGATACCGAAATAAATGTACTAGGTTTTTAAAAATTTACATTCTAGTTGTCTTCTCAGTCTTTGTTGTTTAATATGGTGGCTTGACATATTTGAATGCCATATTGGCTTATTTGAAGCCACCGCTATGACCTTTAGAAGAGTTCTATCACACCAGAACATTGTATGGCTGCAGCTGAGTGATTAGAGGGCATGTTTTGCCTGCAGAAAATCCCATGTTAAATTTCCAGCATCTCCAGGTAAGGCTTGGAAGCACTTCTACCTGAAGCCTCGGAGAGCTGCATCCAATCACAGCAGGCACTACTGAGCTTGATTAACCAATGGTCTGACTTGGTATAACGCCACTTTCTAAGTCCCTAAATCTTGAACCAAGCCAAGTAACTTTTGCAGAAATGCTTAGACTGCATCTTTCATTTGCTCAAACACTAACAAAATAATTAGGGGCAGACACTCACTTTACCATAGTTGGTTGTGGTCACGTTCCATTTGCGTACTCGATTACCATCATAGGCATATGAATCTGAAGTATCTCCAACTCCCTCCTATATAAAATGAAAGCCAAGAATACACCTTAGCTAAAGTTACTGTGACAACTTTTAGGCTTTTGCATTCCCAAGGCATGCTTTTCAGCTGATCACTTCATGTTTTTACACAGTAAGAGGGGAAAACATTTGACTAAGATTTAGGTTGTGACTTAGTCAGCAGGTTCACACAATCTGCCACAGTGTTTTGTTTAATTTTTGGCATATACAGGGTGCAATTTGCCTAATTACCAACCCGGATTTGGTTTGCTGTGCTATCTGAACCCAAATAACCCAACAACAGGACATAAGTTAGTATGTCCCTACATTTTACCAACATGGAATTTCTATAGCAAAAAATCAACTTAGAACTGGAGCATTCTAGTTCAAAACTGTGCTTTTCAGTTGTTTCTTCATTCTGCTGTTTCTCTTCTTCCACAATCCACTTTCAGGGAAGTGACCACAGGCATGGAGAAATGTATGCCTGAACCACAGACCTCAGAGAAACACCCATATGGGGTAACTCAAAATGCCAAACATCAATGCAGACTTATAATAAGTATATGCAACATTAATTGAGTCCAGTTCTGTATTCAGGGTAAACAGAACACATGTTTTGAAAGAGAATGAAATCCTTCCTATTCTAGTCTTTAGTAAAAGTTCTGCAAATATGGCACACCGGTGTGCACATCTACATCAGAATTGAACATCTATAAGGAAATTCTTTACACATAAAAAGACAGCTTGCCTAGGCTAAGACAATTTGTACATGTTGAGAAGCATAGGAACACAGGCAAAATATGGAAAGTAGCCTAGAACTAGGTAATGTTATTTTACCTCTTGATTGAATCGACAATTGAGAGTGCACCAGCCAATCTGCATGAGGCCTTGGGATGAAATCAGCACCTCATAGATCCATTTTCCTAACAGAGAAGAGAACACAAACATAACAAGTGACAAAGTCTCCATCAAAAGCTAAAGATTTAAATTGCTCAGCAAACAAATATGGACGCTTGAATGGCACAAAAGGTGTAGCACTCAGAAGAGTTCAAATGGATGAATCCATTTTTCTTGTTCCAACACTCTCAATTTATTAGCTGACACTATTTATAGCCCTCCCTGGGATACATCAGTCCAATTCTGCAGGATAAATGGTACAACTGTAGCCAAACACTAAAGTCAGAGATTTATTTCATATATGTATTGTCAATAATTTCTCATCTCTAGCTATTATCTACTTGCTATAGATGTTCTTCCTGGTTAGACCAATACCATTACTAAGCCATCATTTTTCTGAACCTTACCTTTATACACACAGGTAGTAGCCCTGATAGAGCCAAAATTACTATGTCCAATCACCTGATTTGAAACACAAAGAAAAATGACTGTTACATACCACAAATATTGGTGGTTTTCCCATCTCAAGGGCTCTTTAACCCTTTACATGCATACGTGGGAGGGATATAAAGAAGGTATAAGGTCACTTCCAAGGATTCGAGTTTCAGAGAAGTGGCCAGTGGTTTGCTTCCACCTACCATTTTACAGAAGGACTAGGCACAGGGGAAAAAATCAAGAGCAACAAAAAGAGTATGCCTGCATAACAGTTTTCTGCTTCTACTTCTGTCAGGCAAGCATGTAGTATCAATACACTAAGAAGCTGGCATGGGAGTTGCCACAACTGTGCTGGCCCCACAGTCATCCCTATGAGCCATGTGGATAGCCTGCTGCTCAGCTAAGAGCCTGGAGTGCAGCAGCTGCAGGAACCAGATGGGCTGCATTGAAGTGCACCCAAAGATTTTCCATAAGCAACAAGATCAAGTGAAAGAGTGCCAAAAGGAATGACAAAGGAATCCAAAACAGCCCATTGGTTCAGTACATAATGCCTATGCCACTAGACAGTAACACCCACAGTGCAAAAGACACTTAGCAATTACAAAAGGATAACACCCTCTGCTTTCAATCCAACCATAGGCATTTTATTGATTGGACTGGTAAACCATGTAAGATGCAATTGTCAGTAATTTTAGTACAAAGTTGGTTCTATTCATCCTTCCTTCAGTGAGAACTGAAACCTACTGAGTGAGATGTAGCTGCACTTAAACACTCGAAGCAAACACTCGAAGCAGCACATACGAGAGCAGAAAATTATTCTCCGGGGGGCTGAGACAAGCAGGAAAGAAGCCGATCTTTAAAAACAGATCTTTAAGAGGAAGACAACAAAAAATATGTGGTCTACATAAAATTGAGCAGGACATTCCAATGACATTCAGTTGAGTATTGAGACAATTATAGGTTGGCAGCAAATGGCATAAAACAAGAGAGGGTTTCACAATACAGACCACAATCAGGTAAAAGTCTCTGGATTAAGAATGCTGGTATGTTTCTCAGAAAAAAAAACTACAGCAATAAGGTGGATTATAATGATGATTCAATAGAGCGTCATAGTTATACAGAGCCAGTATGGTAGTGAGAGTGTTGGACTGATGATCCAGGAAATCCAGGTTCTTGTCTTCACTTGGACATGAAGACCACTGGGTGACTTTGAACCAGTCACAGACTCTCAGCACAACCTACCTCACAGGGTTGTTCTTCCAAGAGTAAATAGAGCTATATAAGCCACCTTGGGTTCTTCATAAAAGGAAAAAAGGCAGGATTTAAATGAAGAGTAATAGTAATAAATATCAGGAGGATGAGTCACTCTCAGCATCTATAGATAAAACCTTTTAGCTATTTGGTGGCATACAAGTGTTATTACATAAGTAAATACATAATAAAACACATCTTCTGTGAAAGTGAGGACTGGTGCAGGAGTAACACTAGGCCTACCTTAACCACAGTTAATAAATCAGGAGCAAGCCTCCTGAACATGCTGTCTTTCTCTACATCTTCTCTCGGAAACTCCTGCATAGCAAGTTTCGTCATGAGCCAGGTAAATTGCCTCTTTTCACTAATGTTAACCACAGCTAATGTTCCCCTTCAAGCTACAGTTTCATATTCTTACAAAATGGAAGCCTTAGTTAACTTTAATCATTGTTCACATCAGTACTGATAAATCATAGAAGAGGGATTTGCTGTAAGAAGAAATGTAGATGGAAGAAGGGTATCTCACATGTCCAAGATTGACCCAGAAGTTATTAAGTATGATTAATAGAGAACCTCTTTAGCAGACCCATAACTAAAGGAAGGGTGGAAATTTACAGAAAGTAACACAGCAGTAAGAGATCACCAGCATAGGCTCTAGAAAGCTCTTTAACTCTCCACCACATTCATGATGGCTCCCATACTCACCCCAAGTAGATCATCATCCACCAGCAGGAGACCCTCAAAACCACTAGTATGATCCAACACCACAGTGGAAGGACCAAGTCTGCCCTCTGCTACCTGATCTGAAATGAAAGTTGCAGAAATGACACAAGAAAAGTTTGTAAAACAGTATAAAGCAGAGGTGGGAATCTGTTCAACTCCCAGGGACCAGATGACTCTTCTAACCACTCACTTCCCAGGGGGCTGAAGACTCAGGAGGGGCCTGAAGTCTCTCACCAAATGGTCACCCATGGATGCAGAGAGACTGTGCTTCTTCTATATAGAGAAACTACTTTCCTACTTATTGGAGAAGAGAGAGTGGTGTGCAGAGGATTTTCTGCTATCATCTCTTGATTACCAAACAGAGATTACAAAGGTTATTCATCTCCCCGTTTGTATCCAAGAAGCAGTGCTTGGGAGGGGCTGGAGCCCTAGGGAGAGTTGGACGGAGCCCTGGGCTGAAAGAGGAACCCCTCTGGACTGAAGGGTCCTGATCCCTAGTGTAAGGGACACAGTGATGAGATAGTATTGTTGCAATTTTATAGCAAAGAAGAAATGAAAGTTTCTAATATGAATCAAGATAAAGCATGGTTCAGAAAAAGGGAACATAAACTCAACACGAGTTTTCCAGAGAAACAATGAAAGCTGTAACCATGGTTACCCTGTTCTCACAATGCAATCTCACAAGATACCCAAAAATGTATACATGCCCCATCACCAATTTAGATGTTCCATAAAATTCACATGGTGCATGATAAACATACAGCATGGATTTAAGGCAGGCCATGGAATGAAGAAACAGCAAAAATATTCATTTGGTAGATCTAGCCTGTGCTTTGCCATAAAATGCATTTCTGCAATCTCAAAGGGAACCTTGCGCAAAGGAATTATCAGTAGATAAGTCCCTTAAAAGGAGAACATTGCAGTCTAGGAATGCACATTAAGGCTTATAATTTATATTATTGTATTTATTAGGGAATAAGCCCAATGGAATATAGTGGGACTTGCTGAATAAACAGGTTGTGCTACACAAGGATGGGCTGAAGAACTGCATTATACTCTTGGTATTTGATCTCAGAATAAAGGACAATTTGCAGTTCACCAAAAACTGCTCCTAATAATTTTATTCAGTTCAAAGGAAAAGCCCTGTTGTTTTCCACAGGAAATGCCACTGCTAAAAGTGTGCACTGACCTATTGCAGACTAGCACATCAGTCCCAGGTGGAAAGATTTTAAGATTTTATTTCACTTATGGCAATTTCAAAATGAACTAACAGTATGTGGACCTACCTTGACCATCTTCTGAGCCAACGTTCTCTGCCAGCAATCGCTCTATATGTTCTTCTAGGTTTTGAAATGACAGATGTTTTCTAAAAATAAAATGAAATGTCTTTAGGAACTTTTATATTATTGTCTGCAGAGAGATACATACAACAAACTGTAAATCACAGTTGCCTGACAACTCCAACACTCTCCTTCATGAACTAAAGCCATGAGACCAAGAAGACAGCTGAACGAACGTTTCAGAAAGTACAATATTAAGATGAGTAAGAAGGGCATCTATAGAGAATTTATCTACACTAATTCTAAGACACACCCAACAGAAGACTCCTATATCTTATCAACAGTTGTTACATAAACAAGCTGCTTTGGAAGAGTTAGTCCTTCTACATGTTTCCCAAACAAAATTATGATTTTTCCTAATATAATCTAATTATTTGGCAACTCTTTGTTTTCATTTGAATGCTGTATACAGGGTATCTACTACTAAGTCCCACTTGGCATGATTCCTTCAGGCTTCCTCCTGAACAGATGCAATAAGGAAGGCCCATACAACTTGTGACCCAAAAATGGGAATACAACTCACCCTCCATGTACTGCGGTCTTGCAACTACGTAACAGTATTCTTTTTTGCAGTGCCAGGCAAGCAGCAAAAAAAGAAAGTTTATTGAGCCCCTAGTGGGCCATGACTAGCAGGCTTCATTGGGATCCAAATATTAGAACTTGTATCCAAGAGGCCTGTATCCAATAGATGCTGAGAATTCTTTTCAAGCCCAGTCAGCTCAATGAGCTTAAGTAACAAATCAAAGATCCTTGATGTGGAAGGTTTTGAAATTCAAAAGGAAAAAAACCCAATGAAACAAAATACTCTTTTTCCTCCTCCTAGTAACTTCAACTCATCAGAAGTAAAAAGGATGGAAGCTATTTTTAGCAGTACTGACAACTCAGTTGTGAGTTCAGAAGCTAAGTATATAGTAGGAGGAATTTGCCCTAGCTTCTTTAAATACAAACATACAACCCAGACAGACATTTGCATGCGGTATCACAAGCAGCACAGTTACCATCCTGAATCTGTCCATATTCCCAATGAAAAGCTAGCTTTGCATAGTATAATGACCCACTATACTGTGCCATGGAAAGGTAGTAGGTTCAGTATGTAATAGAAAGGGAGAAAAAAGGGCTTTGCTTAGGCCTTCTTTTATGATTGCTTAGGCCTTCTTTCCAAACAAGTTCACCAAGGCTATACTTTACTAATGGAAAGGTATAGACCTTTCGAAAGGAATATCAGACAAAAAAAAAAGAGAAAGACCTAATTTAAAAAGATATTTTATCACTTTATAAAATGTACTGGACACTAGTTTTTCATAACCTGATGAACTTAACTTGTTGCATTCATTTAACTAATTGTGCCAATTTGCCAAGTTATTATAATCAAACACCCTAAAGTTCTACAGTACTTAGCTCATCAGAAATTAAGAGATGTTCGGGGATTCAAGTATGGCGTCGGGACGAGACAGATGTGATTAACGAACCTTCGTTATCACGCTGGTAACTATCCGGTGGTGGGCCGCGGGGGCTCAATCTAAGCCCTGCAGGGGTGAAGATAGATTGCTTGGCATAACTCCCAGATGCTGTGGGATGGCAATTCTGCACTTACTGGGAGAAAATCAAGCTTTTCTCAGCCAGATGATACAAGAGAGTAGTTAGCTCTCTGCAAGTCCTCGGCATACTTCATTTTTGTTTAGTCTACTTTAGCTATTAGCATCGGATTTACTGGGAATTATTTTTATTTCTTTTTTCTGCAATGATACCCGTAGAAAAAGCTGCATTTCTTGCTAATTGACATAAAGAAAGAAAAAATAGAAAGCCCTTCCCCCCACGGAGTTGAAAGGCAGCGAATTTCATGAGAAGAGAGAGACAGAGCTCTTTGTAAGTAAAGAAAAGATCTTTTTTCTTTTTAATCTCTCCAAGGGCAAAGAATTAAAATAACAAACTACTGATTAATTGAATTAGAGAAGTATCTTTCTTGTGTGTTGGACCTTTGCCAAGAAATAATGGCCATCTTTGCTCCTTTGTTCCTGGGACTCTTGGACCCCTGCCAAATTATGGAAGAAATTGGAAAAATATGGGAAACATTATCGGCAATACAGACTTCTTTAATAGCCGTGCAACTATCCCAACAGGCAATAATAGTGCAACAGAAGAATGTTTTAATTAAGCAACTTGACTGTTTCTTGATTGAACAAAAGGCTGGCTTTGATAAGCTAGATTTCTCCCTTAACCAAACCTTGCAGAATATGCAAAATATCCAGCAAGTAGAAGAAAAGTTTGAAACTGGGAAGATAACAAGTAAATTATTATGGGATGCGCTTGTAAATAGACAACAAGCAGATGGATATTTGGAAACATCAGGAATAAATAAGCCTTTATGTGATTTACTTGTTATGCTGCAAAAAGAGAAGATAGCTGGGCTACAGTTCAAGATGCGTGATCTACTGCAGACACTGCGACACTCTAATGTAAACAAAGAAGCAATGGGTGAACACGATTTATTACATGATTTATCACAGGCATGTTTTTTTGTACGAACGGAAAAGTTGGCACAATCTGTGGATCTAATTAGCATGAGGTTATTGGATTTGCTTGCTATGTTGGAAAAGGAGGAAACAGTTCATGAGTTAAGAGGCTTTGTTCATGTGGCTACATTTGAAAATTCTATTACAGATATTACGATGTTATAATGTAAAGAAAACAGAAAGGTTTGGTAGAGGTGTAAAAAAAAATCAAAGGGAAGATAAGAGAACTTTCTTGTTATTTCAAAAAGGGGTGACGCATAGAGGTTGGAATGCTCATATGTAACGTAGAAAAGCTAAGCCACTGTTCTTGGTGAAGATTTAGTAATTCAGTTTAAAGAAATTTCAGCTAAAAGATATTATAGGTATTAGTTATCACCAAATATATTAATCAATGGTGTTTTTAAAGATGTTAAGTAGATGTTTCTGATTTTATCTGTATTTGAAAATAAGAGAATTCATTATAGGTATTAATAATCACCAAATAGAGTTGTTAAGCTGTTTTTAGAGATGATAAATGGATGCTTTTGATGTTATTTGTAACTGTAGAGATTTTTCTCTTTTGTTCTTTTTGTTCTTCTTTTCATCTTAAAAAGGGATGATTTAAATAGGCTGGTACGTTCACATGAGATACAGAAAGGCTAATTTAATATGGTTGGTGAAAACTTAAAAATCTAGATTAATGAAGCATTGTTAAAGGGATATCCCTGACTATATCTGTAATTGAAAATAGGAGAAGTATATTTGATTAAATGGAGTTTAAGTTAGATGAAACATTAGTAAGTGAGTTTAAAGAAAATCAGCTTCAAGTTATCACCAAGCAGAGTAGTTAGGATGCCCTTTGAGATGTTAAATAGATCTTTTTGAAGTTACTAGTAATTGTGGTAGTGAGGAAGTTATTTGATAGATTTTGAATTGTTCAGAAATGTTTATATGAAACCTATCACTGAAGAAGAAAGAAGATGTTGTAATTTCACTTAACTTGGAGAAGCTTCCCTTAAATAATGGTCAAGAGAAACAAGACTTTGTAAGAAAAAGATGGGATTGATTTCACCAATAAAGAAGGAGGAAGAAGGAAGATAGTGACTTCTATCAAATTTGGAATTTCTTTTTTATTTGGCTGGAGAAACAGGACTTGGTTTTTATCTAAAGATGTTTTCATGTTATTATAAAAGGATTTTAGTATGATCATAGAATGCTAAAAGATAAGTTGTAAGGGGCTGACCCAGTAAATCTGATGCGTGTGATGACTGATATGTGTAGTTTTAGTTTAAAATCTTAATAAAAATTAAAAAAAGAAATTAAAAGATGTTCAAATTACATCATTATTGGCTATTGCTAAATGATATAGAGAGCAAGTATGGCATAGTGGTTAAGAGCACAGGACTGAGGCAATTTGAGTTCTAGTCCACACTCAGATATGGAGCCAACTGGGTGGCTTCGGGCCAGTCACGGACTCTCAGTCCAACCCAACTCACAGGGTTGTTGTTGTGGAGATAAGATTGAGGGCAGGAGGAGAATTACGTAAGTTGATTTGAGTTCTTAGAAAAAAGGAGATAGATAGATAGATAGATAGATAGATAGATAGATAGATGATAGAGCAATTGATTGATTTACACAAATCATACAGTAACTGCTCTGCTTTCTCTGTCTTTCACATACACTTTCAAAAATGAACGCATTCAGGTATTATCATCTGGAAAGCCACTCCAACATTATACCATGGAAACACTTATACAGTAAAGTGTGGTACAGTGCATGTTAGCTTCATCAAATGTCTGTATTATGATTTAATCGTGTTCTCAAGGAACACTGTTAGAATTAAATCATAATGCTGACATTAACTATATGAACCTATACAGATACAGCTTTCTTTGCTCTATGGTGAATCAAGAGTTTGGTACCTGAATGCAGCAGTAGGCTGAGTTCCATCAGCACTAGGGAAGATACGATGTAGATAATCATTCAGGAGCTTGCTGTTCACTATCCCTGGGACACACAGAAAGAGATAAGCCAGCAAGAACAGTCAGGTAAAACTTCCAAGATGCCACTCTCACCCCCATAGACAAGACAATGCAATATACATGAAATGCCCTGTTATCCTAACACAGACCAGAGCTAGCCCTGCCTAGCTCCAGTAAGGATGCACAATAAATCCTTATAAACCACTCCGAAGCATGAGTTTTGATGGACTTAAAGTGGCCAAACACAAAAGAAGACAGGGCTTCTGTACTATAAATAGTGATGCAAAAGAGAATTTCAGCAGTTGCTGCTGGCATTGCAAGCCACGCCTTCTGAAATTCCCTCTGGCCACCCACATTGCATCTGGCCACTCTCCTTGGACTTGCATCACACTGCGTACACAAAGGATCACATCACTTATCTCTAAGGTTCTATCACTACCTTTTCCCACAGCTCCATGTAGTTCATCTTAAGATTAGCAGATACAACAAACAGATGATAAAGTATGTCTTCCATCATGAGTGCTGTCTCTATGTAACAGGATGGAAAAGACTTGCTACCATACATGGTGGACTTGTGAAATAATGAAAAGATTTTGGAAACTGATATAAATAGAAATACAAAAAAACCATTAAAACTAAGTTTCCTATGGATCCTAAAAATATGCTTTTGAAAATAATGCCAGAGACTTTTTCAAAGAATTTGTCAGACTTATTTAAATATAAGACAACTGCACCAAGAATTACAATTGTTTCTAAATGGAAATCACTAGAATCCCCAACAATTGAAGAATGGAAAAATAAGCTGGCAGAAAATGCAGCAATGGCAAAATTAACTAATTATATGAATAGAAGACTAGTTGAATAATCTTATGGTAAATGGAAATTCTATTATAGTCTATTATAGTGCAATTAATGGGATGTAAAAGGGAGCTCTTTAAAAAGTAGTTGAGGATCTATAAATGACTTAAAGCAATCAGAAAACAAGTGCTGACCCTAGCTAAGAATCCACTTGCAGATTCCTTCATGGAAAAGTTACTAAGTTCTTTCAAAAGGAGATATTGTAAGGAACCGTCCAGAGGATTCAGACAGCATATTAATGTCAATCCTGTCCTTCATGCTTGCCACACTGCTATTTGAGTGTTTACACATTCCCTTAAGTTACTTGGCAAGAGGAGTTATACCAAGTGGCTTGAAATGGCAGATAAGTTTAGCCTGTCCTTGTTACCTCTCTTTGTCCCCTGCTACTTTTTGCACATGCATATTACAAACATAAAAGAGCAGAATGGGAACAATAACAGAAAGGTGACAAGTTAGATAACAAATGCTCTAAATGAGCTGCACAGATCGTCACAACATACCTTAAAGTGCAGCTTAGGGTTAGTCTCTTTAGTATCTTTTTAACACCTACACTTTAGAGTTTGTAAGCATGGGCATCACCACTGCATTTACTATCATTCTTCTATAGTAGTCATCTATTCAAATTCCCATCTAATCTGAGGACAGAACAACATCAGCCTGCAGTAAGATATATCCACAAATGGGATGTTTAGCATTTCTTTATGCTGATATTTTTTTCTAAGCCACACTGATCACAACAAAAAGTGGAGTCACATACACATATTTCTACCACAATTCTGCAGAGGAGAGCCACATGCCTCTTGGCCTTGTGAATGTTTGACACACTACAGGCCAAAGCTTCAGACCCAGTTTCTGAGGTCTACTAAATTTATTCTGGCTTGCAATTTTAATGCTGCCTAAGCTGGACACAAGCTCATTTCAATCACAAGGGAAGTCTAAGACCAAAATGTCACACTGTCGAGGAGAAGTCATGTGCATTACCCTGTGCATTATTTTTCCAGCATATATCCATTCTTTACTGAAATGATCTCCACAATAGCTTTCCATTGGATACTTGACATTTCATCTCTTTGGATTTCATCAACCTTTCTACCTTTAACTTCAATTGAGTTCCTGCTGGAGTTATGCCTAGTGAAAGCTTTCCTGGCCAAAGCCACAGACTTTTCTGCATCAGTATGAATTAAAAACTGACAGGCATAAGAGAACAGATACATACCCCTTCTCAAATTTGACATATTATTGATGCAAATTGGGACATTCCTCAAAGGGTGTTTTAGACATTTACACTGCAAAACTATACAAACTAACGTGAGAATAAATTTCCTCAAATTCAGTGTGGTTTGTTTGTTTGTTTGTTTGTTTATTTATTTATTTATTAAAACATTTTTATGCCGCCCCATTCGCCGAAGCCTCAGGGCGGCTTACATCACTAAGTTAAAATAATTATAATATAAATTAAAAATACAACAATACAGTATAAAATAAGCCGCCCTGGCCAGATAAAATCCAATAATATTAACAGTTAAAATGCCGCTTGAATAAAAAGGTCTTCGCCTGGCGCCGAAAAACAAATAACGACGGCGCCAGGCGGACCTCTCTGGGGAGCGCGTTCCATAACTTTGCTTCTTATATATGCGCAGGATTCTCCAGTTAATAGTTCTGTGCCAGGTACAAGTTTGTGCAGCACTGTGACAGGTGAAGCATTCAGCAGCTGAAGTTCCTTGCATAATGCAATTATTATTCATACCAACTGAGCCATTGTATGAATGTTCACCCACTAAAAGCAGCAATATATCTAATACCCATTGAGCTAGATTACATTCATATGACCTGCAAGTATGTCATGCAGGCTACACTGCTGAAATTTGCTCTTTTACACCAACATTAAAGAAGAGAGAGTCCTGTCTTCTTTGCATCTGGCATTCTACTTGCAGGTAACATTTCTTCTACTAAAACATGCAGGTTAAATTGTCCTTCCAAATACATGTCAATTAACAGATATATCTTAGCAACTGGGCTAAAACTAAAATGTATCTGCCAACTAAGTGTTAAATTTACTCAGGGGTAACCTATTTGCACAGTTAGGGTGCTGCAACAACAGCAAGTCTCAGTATATTCTACTAACAAGATCTTGTAGTGCCATTCCCTCCATAATTCACAATATTGATCCTACCTGCAGTCTTGGATTTTTCAGGCTCTGTGCTTAATCTATAATTCTTCCGAGAAAATGAAGTGCCAGAACCTCGTGATGTCATAATTCAGGTCTGAGTGAATGGACACTAACCTCAAAGCTGGAAAATAAAACAGGGATTGGTGGAAAATGGACTTACTAGAAATTAAATCATTTACAAGAAAGAAAAAAAGAATGCAAAGATTTTACTGCTTTTCACAAAACTAGAATAGCAAGGTAAACATGCAAATAATATATTTTCCCACTCTCTGTCTGCTCTGCTGTAAAACAGCCAAGTAAATGACAAATACAAAAACTAAGGCATCTTACTGTCTCCAAACAGTATTAGAGAACAGTTGGACTAAAATGCAGTTTGTATTAATGGGAAGACTAAGCAGACATGTTGAAATATCTTTGTCACAACTTAAAAATACTTCCTTTATCATAAGCAGGAAAGGAATTTTTGTAATCCTAACAAAACTAAAAAAGACTGGTGAAAAGCAAAATGTGTTAAAGACAAATATAAATATAGAAATAAACATAAATATAGAAAGCAATGCTTTAAGCCTGTTCAAAATCATGCTGTTAAAACAACGGAAAGAGAAACAGCCCAAGAAAAATCAACTGACAGCAAGAGAGACTGTACCCTAAAAAGAACATACAACTAATTCAGAGATTTGTAAGTACCTATTGACAAACATTCCTATAAAACAAAGTATATACAAATACACATGTATATACCAAGAGTATAAAAATTAGTACATACATATACATACAGAACCTAATAATGTGATTGATGTATTGTTTTATGGGGACTCATGTCAAAAGCTGCTAAGTGTTCTCAAGAGTTTAAAGTGATGGTTTTAACAGCAGCCATAAGCTTTCTATAGAAACAGAGCATGAGCTTGCAATAAGAGAAACTGAAAATAGAAAGCCTCTAAAAGAAATATTATTTGTAATAAAGATACATATTGCTATAAAAGCATTGTGACAGTGGCATTCCCTAAGGTTCTCCATTAATCAGACATAGAAACACAAAAACAGAGAGAGTCAGAAGGGGTCTCCAGGGCCATCTAGTCTGACCCCCAGCTCCAGCTGGCTCCACTCATGACATGCCTACCATGTGCATGTCCAGCCCATCCTTAAACACCCTCACCAGTAGGGCTTCAACCACCTCCCATGGAAGCCCATTCCATACTCTAAGGGTCCTATCTCTCAGGAAGTGCTTCCTGGCATCCACCTCAAATCTTGGTTCCCTCTGAGCTTTGCTGCACTGGAACGCGTCCTGCCCTCATCTGCAGGGGAAAAAAAGGACATGACCCACATCTGCATGACACTTTCTCACATACCTATATGTCCTTAACAGGTCCCCTCTGAGTCTCCTCTTCTCAAGGCTTGAAAAGACCCATTGGTGCAGTCCCCTCAGTCTCTCCTCATAAGGCTTACACTGCAATCCAGTCACCATCCATGTGGCCCTTCACTGCACCAATTCCAATCTTGCTATATCTCTCTTGTAATGAGGGGCCCAGAACTGAACACAATACTCCAGCTGTGGGTGCACCAGAGTCATATATAGGGGCAGTAAGGCCTTTGACAAAGTGCTACATGATATCCTGGTTGAGAAATTGAGGCATTTTGAGATAGACCAATATACTGTCCAATGGATTAGGGCATGGTTGATGCACCAAAAGCAGAGGGTAATTATTAGTAATTATTAGTGGGGAATCATTGGGATGGCAGTCAGTGACGAGCAGGGTTCCACAGGGTTCTGTCCTATAATACATTAAGGATTTCCTGAGCAGATAACATGCAATTGATTATTTTTTCCCAATCCACATTTCAACTTGGTCTGTTTTCAACACAATTTGAACCTGTTTCATCTACTAGAAACCTGAAGTGGATGCCACTTTTTCATCCATAAACAAAGTCTACATATGTTGCATATCATGGGATCGACATCAGCAGGACATTGTATCAATATCATGCCAATATCATCTCATAATACTTTATGAGATCAAGCATAAAATACTTTGTAGGTGAACCATCCTGTCTAAAACCATACTTTCATGGTAGCAAAAGGAAATATGTACTGCTTCCAAGAACTATGAAAACATCATCATACAACTGTTCTTTCCTTCACACTACAACACAAAAAGTAACCTTGCCAGGATCAGTAAATGCAGCTAATTTGTGGTCATGGGTTACTTAAGTATACTCTAGACAATAGCTGTAGGCTTAGCAATATCACTTTGAATTAACACTTTCAGGCAAGGTGTTTTAATAATGAACCATAATCTCCACCACCAAATTTTGTTGAACGTTGTTCAATTTTTTGAGGTTTAGCTCTAAAAATCCAAAAGCTGTAGTATGCAAACTTCCAAACATTTCTAGTCAGCTTTCACAGACAATTATATTTGTGATCTCAAAGTAAAAATGAGTTTCCCTAAACCTTCCACACCTTATCATCTGAACCCATACCTACCACAGACAACCAGCTAAGTAGCTTTTTCCAAAACTGCATTACAGGGTTTTCTGATTCTTTTTAGGCGAAGAGTTCTGACAGTAAAAGCATATGTGGAAACATTCCCAGTACCAGACTATGATTACTGTCTCCCCAGAAGTAACAGAGAGTAGTAGACATCTTTACGAGGAATACCCCTACAAAAATAGAGATGGTCCTATTTACCTTCATAGGTCAATCTTATACACATGTACTTGGCTCAAGGTTTGGTGATGGCCGCAAGTTATGATGGCTTTGAACAGGGATTAGCCAAATTTGTGGAGAATAAGGCTGTTAAGGACCACCATTACCCATAAATGTATTATGTGTGACATCCAGGATCAGAGGCCCCATGCTTATCAACGCCATTTGCTGGGGGGACAAAAGTGCTCTCACTCTCATGTCCTACCTCCAGGCTTCTCAAGGGCATTTGCAGAACTATCATGAATAACAGGATCCTGGATAGGCAACTCGTTGGTCTGATCCAGCAATGCTTTTCTTAAGTCCACCAGACTTTCTCCCAGGGAAGTGGGCATAGGATTATAACTTCAGTACATCATATGAAAAGGCCATTTGAAAGGCATAATGTGAATAGATGTAGGCTATTAATTTGTACGATGATTTTGTACTTATCTTGATTGATGGATTAACTATATGATAATAGGCTAACCATTCATTAGCAAAGGGGATATAAAGAGGAGAAATGAATTCATATAGATGTCAGTTCTAGGTCCAAACAACAGATTTAGCTAAAACCCATAGACTTATTTTCTTGCTGGATCTCTTTTCTAAGGAGGGTTCATGTTATATTTAGGCTTTGGCTGATGTGGCTAAGAGTCAGATCCCAGCTGTAGTAAGAAATAATGATACAACCTTTCTGCACAACACCATGTTGCAATAACTCTGGTCTCCAAGTGCTGAGAAAGGCTGTGAGCTACTTCCAAACACAGCCTGGGATGATGATATCATTCTGGTATTCCACTGGAGTTAGGACACATTTTGATCACCAGCCCTGCACTGCAACACCTGCTTCAATCGGGCTGCAGGGCTGCCTCTTTTACTCTCGGGCAGTACATTTCATGAGAAGCGTCTTTGCTGGACAGCCTACGCTTACTCGTCAGAAAGTCCCACTGGAAAAAACGGCGCTTACTTCAGAAGCGCGCGTTAAGGCCCGAGCACATTTAGTCCCGCTGAACTCAACGCGAATTCTGTCCGACGACAAGTAAGTACGCTTAAGATCGCCCTGAAAATCTCCAGCGTAACCAAGCAGCTTTGCTCGTTCCACGCTCCTTTGGCACGGAGGGTGGTTAGAGACACATGCAACTGCGCCGTTTTCCTATGAGCAACAGGCCTCCAGGGGGCTGTCAACACCATGTCGTAGAGAGATTGGAAGAGGAGGGAAGACGCAGTGGGGGGTCGGGAACGAAAGAAAAACCCGGCAATAGTGGAAAGAGCAGCCGCCGCAGCCGCCCCCTGAAAAAGCCAAGGGCAGTGACCGGTGCCGCTGCGGCAACGGATTTAAAGCTGCCCACTGCTGCCGCCGCCGCCGCCGCCTCCTCCTCCGGCGGGGCAAGCGGCCTGCGCCGCGCGGATAAGGCTGACAAGGCGACATGCGGCTTTGGGACAGGGGTTTGAAGGGAGGGGGGCGCAAGCAACCGGAGAGGGGCAGGAGGGCGGCGGCGCAGCACCGGGCCTACTCACGACCCCTCAGCCGGACTTCTACCTACAGTTGCCCCTCAGCCGGCCAGGTGGCTCCCGCGCCCGCGCAGCGCCCCGGGGAAGTGCCCGCTACTCACCACGGCTTCCCGCTTGCCGCCCGCCCGCCTGCCTCGCTCGCCCAGCCCCGCCGGCAGCGGCTCCTCACAACATCCGCCCTGCTACGGAGCGCCGGCAGGGACACGCCAAGCGAAGCGGCGGGGACAGCCGCAGCGGCAGGCTCGGGGCGGGCGGAGCGCTCGTCGCTGGTGCCGGCGCCGCCCCCGCGAGCCGGCGGGAGTTTCCCGCACGAGGCGCTTCGGCATCCCGCGCACGGGTGCTGCCGCCCTGCTCCGCGCACGGGGGCCCCGACCCCTCAGCCGCGTCCCGAGACCCCGCCTCGGCCGGCAGCCCACGTCCTCGTCACACCCGGTCGCCTCTCCGGGGGGCAGCCGCGCCTTGGTGGGCTTTCTTATTGCAACGGGGCACACGCGCTAATCTAACCTTCTCGACCCGGTGCCCTCCAGATGTTTTCGGCTTCGACGCCCAAAGGCAGGAATGCTGGGATCTGTAGTCCAGCACCATCAGGAATGCACCTGATAGAGGAAGGTTGGGTTAAATGAACATTTCGACAGCATCAGGATGGCCTCAGGATGCTCACGCCTGACTGTCCCTCCATGGTCTGGCAAGTTCAGGGGTCAGGGTGGGGGCCTTCCTAGCATCTCACATTCAAGGGAGGTCAGGGAAAGCAGCTGGGAGAGAAAGAACCTCTGCTTCCTGCTCTTCTGCCAGCCAGAGTAGACATTATTGGGCTGGACCAACTTTCTTCAACATGGCACTCTTCAGATGGTTTGGACTTCAGCTCCCATCAGTCCCACCCAGCATTGCCAATGGTCAGGAATTCTGGGAATTGTAATCCAAAACGTTTGAAGACCACCAAACTAAGCCAGTATCAACTGACAAGCTATCATATATTCACAACAGTCAGATGTCTTCATGGTAACTTCCCCCCACCCAACAAACAACATCCCACTGTCTTCCTCTTTTAAACTCTATAATGTGGTTGCCTCTACCCATCTCTCAGTAGTGATCCCAAAGCCTTCCACCCCAAATACAATCCATGTCACCAAAAGAAAGACAGCCATATTCATCATACGTATGATGGTCCAAGTCCTGAAGAAACTAACTTAAATGTCCACAGCCACCTTCCCACTTCATCTTGAGATTCTGAACATGCAGATGCTGAGAATGCCCCATAATCAGGCTCTTTTCCTCCCAGTTTCCCACTCCTCAGCCTACTTTATGTTGACTGGTGAAATTATCTGCAAGTCTTGGAAACCTGCACTTTTTAATCTTTTTGTTGGCTTAATAAGTGTATTATATTCATATGGATTTTCAATAAATTCTTGCATCTTTTTGCTAGTAACATTCCTATAGCCTCCTTATGGATTCTACAGTGCTGCAGCACTGACAATATGCAATCCCACCTTGCCAATACTCTTCAACTTCTGGTAGTGACCTCCAGAAATACTTCTCCAGTTCCTTAGAATAGCTGCTGCAGCTACTATACCTAGATTTTCTTTGCATGTTTATCGGAAGAGTTTTTACTGTAGTGTTGAATTCAACACATTTATGAAGCAGCTTACAACAACAAATGAAATATGGCAGCAAAACAGAACCAAAAATCCTTGAAAACATGCGTAACCCAAACAGATACAAACAAAAATGGCACCACTAAGTAACTCACCAGCATCACTGTTCACAAAAACTCCAGGGAAATAAACTTACCTTTGTATTTCAATAGTTTTACTGATTAAAACTATTAAAATTAGTATTAGTATTACTACAGTAATTAGCATTTGTATTACTACAGTAATTAGTATTACTGATTTTTTGTAGCTATTAGGCATTTTGGTTTCTTTCTAAAGACTTGAGAGAGATAAAATTTTATTGAATCAATAAATTATAGCCTAACATCTAAGTTCTATCAGGAAGTAATCAAGTCGCTAACCTCAGGAAAAGAATACTGCTACAAAAGGCCCTATATCTGGTTGATAGCCAGTTAATCTTTGAAGAGTGCTCCCCAGCCTTTGGGCAGGCCCAAGATATTTTTCCATCTGATGCAGACCAATTAGACCCCTCCCCTCCCCAAGTCAAAGTGCCTAATATCAAAGACCAGGCAAGTTATTTTTTGAACTTGAAGAAAACAATAGTGCATTAAGTAACTGATAATTTGCTGCCCCTCCACAACATCCAAAATCAGCTGCCTGTGGCAGCAACTTCACTTTGCTTAATGGTAGGGCTAGCCCTGTGAAGATGGAGCCAGTGCAGTGCTGTGGTCAGAGTGCTGGACTGGGATGCAGGAGATCTAATTCCCATTTCAGCCATGAAGCTTACAGGGGACTCTGGGCCAGTCACTGATGTTCAGTCTAACCTACTTCACAGGGTTATTATGTAAATAAAACTGGGAGAAGAGGGACCGTATAAGCTATCTTAGGTTCCTTGCAAGAGAAAATGGCGGGATATAAATGTAATAGTAAAATGGATGATAATCATTAATGAAGTAGCAGGTGAAATTTTGGCACACCTGAAGCCATTTTGTAACATCATCATAAGCAGCACACACAAAAATCACTGTAATTTCTGTCAGCCATGAGACAAAGGAAATACATACACTTCCAGTTTGCCAAGAACTTGAAAATCCCTGGGATTTTGTGGCATGGTAAGACCTTACCTCTAGCCAGTGGTGTCATGGTAAATTTAGAAGCAGGGAAGGGGGTGTCCCTTCATGATAGTCAGAGCCACACCTCAGAGCCATGCCCCCATCAAAGGCACACACCCCAAGCCACATCTATTTCCAAGATTATGCAACCTATGATTCTGCAATAAAAATGAGATTTTTCACTTTCTGTTTGAATTTCTGCTGAGTAATAAATGGCAAGATGAGGGCATCCCTTTCTGAGGTGAAACAATGACAGCTTCTAGAAGTTATTTATTATTATCTTATTTATTATGTATGATTTTTAAAATTACATTCATACCCTGCTTTCCAACCAAAAAGTTCCCAGAGTGGCTTATGTGCAATTAAAAAGGCAGTTTATTTTATTATTTATTTATTTAAAGCATTTTTACTCCATCCTTTACAGGCATGCCCTACCCACAGGCTTACCAACTAAAAACATGACATACAAAGGAAAAGGGACAGGGAGAGAAGGGTGGGGGAAAGAAAGCTCAAGCACTAATTAGCCCCACTTATAGATCATATGTAGTTCCAGTATATTCTACCAAGAGCAGCATCTGGATTGATCACTGTTTGGTTTCTTTTAATTTTCTGTAGCTTTGGTAGCCACTGATTGGGCGGGGGGAGATCCTCCTTAAGTCCAGAGTGCATAGTTTAGGGGTTCTGGTTTCTCAAAATATCCAGTAATCTTTTATTGGATCCATGTTGTATCATGCATAAAATATCCTTACTGAAGTAAGGGGAATTTAAAGCTACTAGAGATCATGGCTAATTTTCCCCATTGAGTCCAGTGAATACATTCCAGTTATGATACTTTTATCCCACTTTAGCCATTGTTTCTCCCAAATAATTCTGGAGCTAAGAGTTGCATTTCTCCCAAATAATTCTGGGGGTATACTCCTGACAGAGCCACAATTCCCAGAATGGTTTATCCATCAATTCCTATTCCCTAGGAATTCTGGAAACTGTGAGGAATAGGTGTCCACTAATGACACTCAGTATCCTTGACAAACTCTGGACCCCAAGATTCTTTGAGGAAGTAATGACTGCTTAAAGGGGAATAAATGTGTTCTAAGTGTATGCTGTGAATGCAACAGGGATGGGAGGGAGATTTTGGAGCAGCGAAGGGAAGCTGACCACATGTTGCTGAGTAGTAGGGGCTGACCATGAGGGAAAGTGTCACAGAAAACCCATGTGCATGCCCAGCAGGCCTCTCCAGGTAGGGAGTCCCCAAGAACTGTTACCATTAAATTCAGGACTCGGACACAGTGGCAGCTTCCAGCCATGATCCAGTAAAATTCTCTTGAGAGGCAGTGGGGGAGGGAACATGACCCTGACTTCAGGGATCCAGAGGGACCCCTCCAAAATGAGTGGGGGGGGCTCCAAACCCCAAGGGTCCCCTCCACTACACCCTTGTCTCCGCCACATGGTATTCCCTCCTCTTCACTCCATCACCTTACAGTCTCCTCAATTTGGAAATTGGCCCTTTAATGGAAAGGTTCTGCACCCCTGACCAATGCCTTCGTGATCCCTCCTGGCGCCCTCTGAAACACATTGACCAGAATGTTGTCTCTGTCTGTACCTATACTTATATCACAGGGTGTCTCAAAGGAATTGCTGCAGGACACCCACACTGATACCAATAGCTACAGTAATATCAGAGTTAAGAATTTCATCACTGTAAGGGATTTTGAATGTCTTTGCAAATAATAGGCACAGGGTTGTGAGGGACCCCTGGAAGTTTATTCAGGCTTATCCCAAAGACCATCACAAACCTTTTTTATATATTATTGTGATGCTGTGTCTTATTTATGTTATTGCCACGCTGATACATTGTGAAAGGCGGGATACCAAAAAAAAAAAAAAAAAAAAAAAATCAATCAATCAATAAACCTGTGACCCTATGTTGGTTTTTCTTCCAGACAACAGCCGCCATGATACACCCACAGAGGCATGCCATGAAACTCAATAGTACCACATCAGCAGATGTGTGTTTTCTCTGTTGAGTGCAGGTGCTGTTCCCTACTCAGCCAGCAGGGGAAGACTTTCCCGGAGATCTTCTCTGCTGGGGTCCCAGCAGTTTCCCTTCTGCCACCCTGGGGCATTGCAGGCTCTCTTTAGCAGAGAAGCAACCTGCAGTTTTTAATAGGATTTTATCGGGGCTGGCACAAGGCAAATTGCTGCCTGATATAAAGTATCAAACACTGCTCTCCCCACCAAAAGTCAAGGTCCATAATACCCAAACCAGTAAAGTTATTGGGGTGTTTTGTTTGTTTTTTAACTCCTGAAGCAGAAAATCCCCATAGGGTCTCTCTTCCTCCCTAGCAGTAAAAATACAGTAACAGTAATAGTTATAACTATGCTGGCCTTTCATGACCCCCTAAATCAGCTGCCCAAAACAGCTGGTTCATTCTATCCTGAGGGCTGCACAGAGGA